CTATTGTAGAACGAAGTGGCTTCTAGGCTGTAGGAATTCATACTAGAGGGCATGTGGTGGTGACTCCAGGGAGACTGAGAAGAGAAATCCTAAGAGCCTTGAGCCCAGAGTCCCACCTAGGGTGCGGTTGGGACCTGGGTGCTGTTCCCGCCACAACACTGCCACCCAGTGGTTTGGGGTCAAACTGCAAGGGTGGGACTCACTCAGCCAGTAACCTGAGCCTTTTTCCCTGTCACCCAGGTCTTTAAGTGGACTGGAAGCAACTCTTTCTTTGTGAAGGGAGACTTGGATTCACTGATGATGGGCAGTGGCAGGTGAGTGTCTCAGTCCTCTCGAGTCTTGGGGTGTCTGTATTATGGTTCCTTTCCCTCTGCTGAACTGCTGGTCTAGGCTGCCCTGGATGCAATGGGAAGGCTGGTGGGGAACTCTCAGGCCGTTCCCTTCATTGCTCAGCCCCCTAGCCAACCCCATCGTGTAAACCAGTATTAGGAGAAAGGATTCATGAGCGCCCCCACTGAAGTGTTACAGCTGGTGACAGTTTAGTCTGAACATAGGCAACTTTGGGAATAGAATTCTACATGATTGGATGAAGCTAGCATCAAGAGATGGGCGTGCTTTGTTTTTCCATCAGCCCAGGAATCACAAGGGACGTAACTCATTGCAGGAGCCTCCCTCGGTAAAGACAGGGAGTGGAGAGAGATAGGAAAAAAAGAGTTGATCTCATCCTTGTGTGACCTTCACATTCGGGGGGCATGTGCCTTATATCCCGAGGGCAGAAATGAAAGCATTGCTTGATTAGTATTAGGCAAATTCTTTGCTCTCCCAACTTCCTGAATAGCTTCCATTGAGGGGCAGCTTGGCACAGAACTCATCAGCCATTGCTGATCTGCAGGAATCCAATTCCTGGCTCCAGCTGAGGTTTTCTGTCAAATGAGGGGATTAAAATGGATGCTGTAAAGCATTTGGGCTCTCAGAGTTTGCACCCTGAGATGTACTAGCTTTGGTCAAAGAATTGCCATCTTAAAAATGCTCCAAATGTTCTAAAACTGGGCTGTGGTGATGGTTGTGCCACTGTATATACTTATTAAAATAATGAACTGTTTTAAAAATGCTCTTGGCCAGGTGTATTGGCTCACGCCTGTAATCTTAGCACTTTGGGAGGCTGAGAAAGGCAGATCACTTGAGGTTGGGGGTTTGAAACCAGCCTGGTCAACATAGCAAAACCTCACCTCTACTAAACATACAAAAATTAGTCAGGCATAGTGGTGAACACCCTGTAATTCCAGCTACTTGGGAGGCTGAGGTGGGAGAATTTCTTGAACCTGGGAGGCAGAGGTTGTGGTGAGCCAAGATAGTGCCACTGCACTCCAGCCTGGGCAACAAAGCAAAACTCCGTCTCAATAAACGAATAAATAAATAAATAAAATAAAAAATGCTTTTAACCTCATGGGGAACAATGTGCTGAGTCCCCAATAATTCAGTATAAGTTGGCTTAGGGGCAATAAGACAAGTGAACCTGGGCTACTAACCTGGTGTGGCCAAGAGCTGATGCTGGTGGCAGAGCCTGAGGGCTTCAGCACGCAGGAGTGAGCCGCACTGAGACTGTCTTCTTCCCTTCAGTGGCCAGTTTGGGCTGTGGTTGGATGGAGACTTGTTTCACGGCAGAAGCTACCCTTGCGCGACCTTCAACAATGAGGTGCTGGCCCGGCAGGAGCAGTTCCACATCCAGGAGCTGGAGGCCTGGCTTCTCAGCTGATGGCCTTGTGGCAACAGGTACTCAGCCCTGCTCATGAATGTCACCCAGGCCTCCCTGACACCTGTGCTGTCCGAAACACAGATGGTGAAGGGCCCTGGAGTGGGCCATGGCTGCTGGCCAGCCTCCTTGTGGCCTGGGGACCCAAGATACAGGTGAGGGCAGGCACTGCTCTTTTGCAGAGGTGACTCTGAAGTATTAAAAGATGCTTACACCCTACCCAAGCAGCACAGAGTTTCTCATGAACATTATCATTTTAGAAGTTCTACAACTAATTCATGTTTATAGTAGAAAAGCCAGAAGACATTTAAAAAAATTAAAACTGCCTAAAATTAAACCCTCCAGAAACTCCTAACATTTTCATATATATCCTTCCAGACAGTGTTCTATGAATATGTACATGAGTGTGTATATTTACAAAAGTGGGATTCTACTCTGTATGTGTGGAAGTGATTTTAACTTACAGAATATCGTCAAACCTTAGAAACCTGGGCTTGAGCACCGGAACTAATAAAGACTCTAGCAGCGTCGTTCTTCCTCTGGCCTGCTCTGCGACGTTGAGGCTCTTCTGCCTGCCACCAGTACCGGGTGCCTGTGACTCTGTGATTTAATTTCATGATGAAAGTATGAAAGCAGCAAATGAGTAAGATGCACATTTGGACAAAGAGGGCAAAACCTTTGTAGACAGGAACCTCAGGAAGGTTAAAAGAGAGGAAGGTGTATGTTTTCAAGCACAACGGGGTCTTGGAAAACTAAGAAAAATTCACTTCCCTTCCCATACTAGTGCCTGCCTCCTGGCAAAGAAAAGATTTTTCACTATGCTGCTAGTCACCAGCTACTGAATGAGGAAAACCAAACACCACAGAACCTGTTAAATACCATCTCCTCTCACAGACCCAACAGTGCTGAGGGTACTAAGACACGTCTGGACAGATTCCCATACAAAACACATTTCCTCTGCACAGAAGGGTCAAACTGGACACACCATAGTATGAGAAAAAGCGGTCAAGGAAAACACCTTTCAAGATGGAGATACATTCACGAAGCTTTATTGCAGCTGCTTCCCTTACTAATTGAAGGAGCCAGTGATTTTAACTTCAGTTCTGTTTACATTCCCAAGGTAACCATGTTCAGTAACTCTCCAGAGGCTAAGCTGTTAAAATTTCCATTTTTATACAAATAGTGAAGATGTTTCTTTCTTTCTTTTTTTTGTTTTTTTTTTTTGTTGTTGTTTGTTTTTGGAGACAGTTTTGCTTTTGTCCCCAGGCTGGAGTGCAAAGGCCCAATCTCAGCTCACTGCAATCTCCACCTCCCAGATTCAAGCAATTCCTCTGCCTCAGCTTCCCGAGTAGCTGGGATTACAGGCACCCGCCACCAAGCCCGGTTAATTTTTGTATTTTTAGCAGAGATGGGGTTTCACCATGTTAGCCAGGCTGGTCTCAAACTCCTGATCTTAGGTGATCTGCTTGCCTCTGCCTCCCAAAGTGCTGGGATTACAGGGATGAGCTACCTCCCCTGGCCAAGATGTTTCTTAAGAAAAATGTAACCTTGTAAATAGCATAGAGCTCTTATAATGAAACAGTTGCACAGAACATAAAGTGCAGCTGCCTTACATGTTAACAAAAGATGCATACAAAATAGATATCAAGTTGTTTTGCAGATAGCACAATGATACAATAGGACTACAAAATCCCAGAGTAAACCACAATGATTTACAGGTAAGATACATAGAAATAAAATTATTTTAACAGAAAAAATATGACATTCTTAACCTTAGGTCTGAACACATATCTGACCCCTGTAGAGGCACCCTGGCTAAAACAGGTATGACCTAGTGCCGTGGCTGACCTCACCTGTGCGTTGCTGAGCCCATGTGAACAAATCCTCTCTGATACAGCACCAGTAGGCGTGAGAGGAGAAGGGTTTTTAACTATTCTCTTATGAATTATAACCAACCCTTATTATCTACTGATGGATGGACGGGGGGTGGAGTGATCATACAGGATGGCAGACATTCCAAGTACTCTTCACCCCAATGTGGACGGAACAGAATCTGGCTATACAGTGGCCGGTGACATACTGCTGGGAAATCTGCTGGCTTGTGGTCTGAGTTCCCCTACTTGCTTGGGGGGGCCCCTCAATCCCAGTCTGCCAGGGAGGCCTAGTCCAGGGAGCATCAGAGCAGAAGACATTTGGGGCTCATGGCTGCCATCCCCACTGGCTTGCATCTTCAGCACCCTCTGGCCACCACCAGCTTTGGCTCTAACTGCAGACTTTGTTCTTGGTGAACTGCTATAGAACTGGGAATAAGTTGTGCCCTGGGTACAGGGGCACTACCCTACCAAGGTGATACCCACTCCACTGCTGGGAAAACCAAATTACCTAGGGGATCCTGGAACCCACTGGGTGGTCACTAATTTCAGCACAGGCAGTGCAGTGTTTGCTCTTAAACATACAAAATTGCACTGAACTAGTAAAAACAAAAAGTCCCAGGTCTGAGGAGCTCTGAGGACGGTGCTTGTGATGGCCTCTGGCCAGCTCTCCAGGACACTCAGAGAGCAGGTCAGCGGAGGCCTTCTCCAGGCTGGGCAGTGGGAAGGCCCTCTGGACCGGAGGAGTGAGTATTCAGGAGACAAAGACACTGCTCAGGTCTGGAGCCTCCACTGAGCCTAGGCACAGGCTGGTTTGGGGAATCCCTCTGTCACTGGGGACAGGGATCTCCCAACAAGAGGCGCCTTCATGCTGCACTCACGAGGAGGCCAGAGCTCTCAGATCTTCCCCAAAACCTAATCAGGCCTCTCTAGCATGACGGAGACCACTCCTGGCCATTGTCTCCTACCATTTACCCCAACCTGGCAGCTTGTAGGGGTCTAGAAGGGTGACTTGAAGAGGACTATCCTCAAACTTGAGGTGACAGGGAACTCTTCAGAGGGGCAGGATTTGCTGTTTTGTTTTTAGCCATGTTTGTCTATGACAATGTCAACTTCTAATTCCAATTTGTACCCTTGTCTCATTTCTATGTTAAAAACAAAAAAAAATATCTATCATAAAAGTTCAGAGTAAGCTGGGTGTGGCAGCACATGCCTGTAGTCCCAGTTACTTGGGAGGCTGAGGCAGGAGAGTCACTTGAGCCCAGGGAAGTTCAAGTCCAGCCTGGGCAACAAAGCAAAACCTTGTCTCTTAAAAAAAAAAAAAAAAGAGTTCAGAGTAGATAAAAGAGTTGTTATTCTAAGAAAATAGACTACCAAAGGAGAAAAGCTTTAATTAATATTAAAAATAGGCAAGGTAATGCTTTTCATATATAATAAGATTTGCCTAATACCATGTTATTTCTTTGATTAAAAATTACTTCTCTTCAGCATGTGTGTACATTCAAAATACAAAATTAAAGCATGAATTGTCATAAAATTTGCAGAATACTATGACTGAAGCCCCTAAGTTAATTGTGTGGGGCAGGGCATTTGTAAACAACTGCCTGCAGACATTATACCGGGTCATCCTTAAAAAGCTGGAGTCTGCTTTTGGATGCTTCTCGGCGGCGAGCTGGACTTTGGGCTGAAGCCCTGTAGTTCCATTCATCTTTCTGAGGTGTTATGAGTGGGGCTACAACATCGCCATCCTATTAGGAAGAAAGAGAAAAACGGAACAGAGAAGAGCCAGTCTGTATCACCTTATTTCTGAGGGAGTCTCAGGTACGCACATCCTTGTCTTGCATATAGATTGCTTCTAGGTATACTCACTCTAGGGAAACTCCAAATTAGATATGCCCTGTGCTTGGGACAAATTAGAAACACCACAACCTTACTCAAGAGGAACCTTCATGAAAACAGTCATCGGCCTCTGCAGGGATGACTGGAAGAGCACACCCCTGCCCACCTCTATGGCCTCCTTCACACACCTTCATGGAGCACAAACCCTGTCCTGTTTTCCCAGGAGAAAGATGGGCTGCATTGAACCCCTGGCTTCTCTCACGCCTGGTCCCCTCTGCAATAAATGGCCCAGGTCTACAAGATGGCAAAGAAAGGGAGGAAGGACAGTATGTACCTGCAGATTTTAAATTTTTCTCTGCATCAAAGCTCTAACGTTGGCCCCATCAGCAGAGGCTCCAGACAAAGGAGCTCCTCCACCCAAAATGAGGGAAAGACCCAAATCGAGGTGATACAATGACCTGAAACCAGAGCGGTAAGAAGCAAGGCCTCCTAACACCCAACTCTATGCTAAACTGTTCTGAACTTATGGGTAGATCCTCTTTGGTTACAAGATAACACAGGATCTTAGGGAGCCTCTGTTGTACCAGGAATACAATGCTGGTAGGAGGATTCGAGCTCTTCATCTGCCTATTTGCTCTCAGACCCATTCTTCACTCCTCCTCTCCCTACTCTGTTTCATAGGAGCTACTCCGGTAAATTACATTTTTCAGTTCCCATGCCTGTTGGTTTCCAGTTAGGTTTGGTCAATGGGAGGCGCTGGTGGGAGACTGGAGGTGAGAGGAGGGCAGAGAAGTCAGGTTATTTCTCTCCCTACCTCCTCTGGCACAAGTGGCAGTGGCAGTGACTCTTCTGTGGTTCCAGCTTCTGTAGATGGCCCCAGCTCCTGGACTCCCACCTGCTCCCTTGGCCTCTCCTAACCTAGAGGTGGTAGCAGCTTCCTGCTGTTGAATCACTGTCCTCTGTACTCATTTAGCTCTGCCAAAACTTTTGTATCTCATCCCCCATGTTAAATTTCTTCTGTTGAACTACACTGTGTTTGACTTCACAGAACCATTAAAAGTAGTTTTTAAAATTTTTATTTAATTAATTTTAATCTTGCTCTGTCACCCAGGCTGTAGTGCAGTGGCATGATTTCAGCTCACTGCGACCTCCACCTCCAGGGTTCAAACAATTCTCCCACCGAAGCCTTCCAAGTAGCTGAGATTATAGGGTGCACCACCATGGCTAATTTTTGTATTTTTAGTAGAGATGGGGTTTCACCATGTTGGGCAGGCTGGTCTCGAACTCCTGACCTCAGTAAAGGTAATCATTCAGGCTGAGTGCGGTGGCTCACTCCTGTAAACCCAGCACTTTGGGAGGGCAAGGCAGGCAAATTGCTCGAGGTTGGGAATTGAAGACTAGCCTGGGCAATGTCATGAGACCCCATCTCTACTAAAAATACAAAACTTAGCTGGGTGTGGTGGTGCGTGCCTGTAATCCCAGCTACTTGGGAAGCTGAGGCAAGATAATCACTTGAACCCAGGAGGCAGAGGCTGCAGTGAGCTAAGACGGTGCCACTGTACTCCAGCCTGGGCAACAGAGCTAAAAAAAAAAAAAAAAAAAAAAAAAAAAAAAAAAAAAAAGTCATTCAATTGTCATGATATTCGTACTTGAAGGCCTATCTCAAAATCAGCAGTATTTGTCTTTAAATTCATCTCTATTTCTACCCAGCTTTCTTTTTCTTTCTTTCTTTCTTTCTTTTTTTTTTTTTGAGACAGAATTTTGCTCTTATTGTCTAGGCTGGAGTGCAATGGCGCGATCTTGGCTCACGGCAACCTCTGCCTCCAGGGTTCAAGTGGTTCTCCTGCCTCAGTCTCCCAAGTAGCTGGGATTACAGGCATGTGCCACCACACCCAGCTAATTTTGTATTTTTAGTAGAGATGGGGTTTCTCCATGTTGATCATGGTCTCAAACTCCCGAACTCAGGTGATCCACCCACTTCAGCCTCCCAAAGTGCTGGAATTACAGGCGTGAGCCACTGCGCCCAGCCTTTTTGTTGTTGTTGTTTTTCAGACAGCATCTTGTTCTGTCATCCAGGCTAGAGTTTAGTGGTGTGATCGCAGCTCACTGTAGCCTGACTCCTAGGCTCAAGCAATCCTCCCACCTCAGCCTCCCAAAGTGATAGGATTATAGGTGTGAGCCACCAAGCCTAGCATATAGCCAATTGTTTTACTTCTACCCATTCTAATTTCAACTCTAGTGAATTTTATAAATGTAAACAAATATGTCACTTTCCTGCTTAAAACCCTTCAGTGCTAATGCTCCCCACTCTCTTGGCTGACAGGACTTTGCATAAAGCCCCAGACACCTCCACACTCTATGCTCCTTCCTAAAATGCACCATGTTCTTTCTCATCTTCCAGCCTAACACTGTGGTGTCTATGCCTCAGCCCCTCCCCTACCACCACCTCCTGCTGCCAGCCCTTTGCCCAGACAACTCCTCACTCAACCTTCAGGTCTATAAGCCCTTCTTTAAATAAGCTTTTCCTGACCAACCAAGACCAGCTACATCCTCCTCGTTTTTCCTCCTCTAAGACTGTACCCACCCCACCCCCAAAGTACTTACCATGCTCCTATAATTATTAATTTATGAAGTCGAATTCATAATAATAATTATTATCCCAAACTAGATTGTTATCCCCAACCTGAATGGGATCCATAGGAATAAGAAACTGTCTACCTTAGGTGCTAAAACAGGGCCTGGAAAAGCACTCAGTGAGTGAATGCACCAAACTTATAGTAGTTATCACCACATAGCCCAACTTTAATAGCCTCTCCTCACTCTCTGTTTCCAGGCTCTCCAAGTTCCAGTCTATCTGCAGCGAGAGTTTTCAATGATTTAGTTTCATAGTACCTAGGACAGACATACAGTTGGCCCTCTGCATCCATGGGTGGATTCAAGCAGCTGTGTAGATATAAAATATTGGGGGTGGGGTGATGGCTGTGTCTACACTAAGCATGTACAGAGATTTTTTTTTTGGTCATTATTCCCTAAACAATACAGTATAACAACTATTTACATAGCATTACTGATGTGTAATACCTACACTGTAGTAGGTATTATAAGTAATTAGAGATATATAAAGTGTAAAGGAGGGTATGCATAGGTCATATGCAAACACTATACCATTTTATATAAGGGACTTGAGCATCTGTGGATTTTTCTATCTGTGGGGGTCCTGGAACCAGTTCCCCACAGACACCAAGGGACAATTCTACTTTCTTATTCCCATGGGTCTCAATCTAGTTGGAGATGACAAACACTCAGGTAAATCATACAGTGGATGGTAACTCTTGAATACTCTCAATGATTCCCTCCCCACTGTAGAGAGGAAAAAATCTCTTAGCCAATTATCCAAGGTGTTTAATAATCTAGTCCACTCTTCCTATTTAACCTCTCCACACTTAACAGTAAAAATTTCCTACCCTGGAAAGACAGGTCTCCTCACGGTCCCCTAAACACTCTCAACTCATTCCAGTGTCATGCCTTTGTGCTGCTCCCACTGCCAAATACACTCCTCCTTATCCCTGCTACTCATCCAAACATAGCCACGCCTTCTAGATCTAGCAGATCCTGCCCCTTCACCAGGCTTCTCCCATAGCTCTCTCAACTCTCTGAATCCTCAGAGATCTAATCTGGATCACGCTTTGTGGCACTTGGTAAAGCACTGACATTCTGAGCTATGCTTTCATGTCTCGCCCTATACTTTGTTCCCTTTAGCACCTAACACACAGGGAGTGTGAGGGAGAGTTCTAGACAAGGCAGTAAACCACTGTTTCTCTGCCTGACAATTATATTCATTCACTCAGTCAATAAATGCCAATTGGCCGCATTCTCTGTGCAGATACCTACTATGTGTAGGTCAGTAAGAGACAGTTTTAACAACATTCTCTACAGGGTTGGCAACTGTGGCTTGACTCCTCTTCCCTCTACTCTCATTCTAGATAATTTAAATAGTTAACTAATATACTAAAGTAACAAAGTTTAGAAACACGAAGTCTATAATCAATTTTTTTTTTTTTTAATTTTGAGAGGGGGGGTCTCACTGTTTCACCAGGCTGGAGTGAGGTGGCGCCATCTTGGCTCACTGCAACCTCTGCCTCCCAGGTTCAAGCGATTCTCCTGCCTCAGCTTCCCGAGTAGCTGGGACTACAGGTGCGTACCACCATGCCCAGCTAATTTTTGTATTTTTTAGTAATTTTAGTATTTTTAGTTTCACCATGTTGGCCAGGATGGTCTCGATCTCTTGACCTTGTGTTTTGCCCACTTCAGCCTCCCAAAGTGCTAGGATCCCACCCACCCGGCCTATTATCAATTGTATGTTAAACAAGTTAACTACTCAGCTTTGGTAACCTCTGAAAGATGGAGACACTATGACTAACCTTCCAAGGCCACTGGTGAGCATGAGAAAGCATTATTTACATGTTCACATTTTTTTTTTTTTTTTGAGATGGAGTTTCGCTCTTGTTACCCAGGCTGGAGTGCAATGGCACGATCTCGGCTCACCGCAACCTCCGCCTCCTGGGTTCAAGCAATTCTCCTGCCTCAGCCTCCTGAGTAGCTGGGATTACAGGCATGCGCCACTATGCCCAGCTAATTTTTTTTTTGTATTTTTAGTAGAGACGGGGTTTCACCACGTTGACCAGGATGGTCTCGATCTCTCGACCTTGTGATCCACCCGCCTCGGCCTCCCAAAGTGCTGGGATTACAGGCTTGAGCCACCGCGCCCGGCACATGTTCACATTTTTATCTTTTATTATTAGGACAATAATGATAAAGAATATCCATTCCAACTCATGTAGGCAGAAATCACTGGTTGACACAGATTTAGACATTTTAAAAGGAAACAAAGTCAAAGACTTTATTTTCAAAACCATAACCAAAAACTATAACTTAAATGAGAACTTTTCATCAGATAGAGTTATTTTTGGTTATTACTAAAAGATTAAAAATTGCGCAAAGTTTGTGAGTAACAGGCCACCTACCTGCGGCTTGGTGAAATTTTTGTCGGAACACCATTGAACAAAATGTTGTTGTGCAGCATACAAACTCTTCGCATCTGTCTTCTTACAGTATACTCGAATCAGCTGCTCTGCAAATCTCTCTGGCAGAAGTCGTGAAACCTTTTTTAAAATAAAAAGATTTCACTATCACCTTGAATTCACACATTGGAGATATCAGTAGGTGCCTAGGCTCCTAACTGTTCCTTTTTTTTTTTTTTTTTTTTTTTTTTTTTTGAGACAAGGTCTCCCTCTATCACCCAGGCTGGAGAGCAGTGGCACAATCACACCTCACTGAAGCCTCAACCTCCCGGGCTCAAGCAATCTTCCCACCTCAGCCTCCTAAAAGCTGGGACTACAGGCATGAGCCACCATGCCTAATTTTTTTAGTTTTTGTAGAGATGCGGTCTCGCTTTCTTGGCCAGGCTGATCTTAATAATCCTCTCACTTCAGCCTTCCAAAGTACTGGGATTACGGGCATGAGTCATTGTGCCAGGCCTACTTTAATTGTAAAGATATGCCTTAAAACCTAATTTACATATAAAATGCTAATTTACTATAAAGATTTGCTATATGCCACTGTAGTATATTTGTTCTGCCTAAGTAGTTACCTGGTTTTTAGTAATCATTATTGCTTTGCTGGGGTCACTCTTACAATAGAATCGAACATGATCAATTGGATTCTTGTCTTGCATTCCATAATCCATGTTGATAACCTAAATAAAAGCAATACATAAGTAATCACGTAGCAACCAGGAGAACTGAACTCAGAGCTGAAGGGGCATCACAAGAAATTGAACAGAGGCTGAGTGAGGTGGCTCATGCCTGTAATCCCAACACTTTTGGAGACCAAGGCAGGTGGGTCACGAGGTCAGGAGTTTGAGACCAGCCTGACCACATAGTCACAACCTATCTCTGCTAAGAATACAAAAATTAGCCAGGCATGATGGTGGGCGCCTGTAACTCCAGTTACTCTGGAAGCTGAGGCACAAGAATTGCTTGAACCTGGGAGGTGGAGATTGCAGTGAGCTGAGATCGCACCAATGCACTCCAGCCTGGGCAACAGATTGAGACTCTGCCTCTAAAAGTAAATAAGTAAATAAAATCCCAGTCCCCACAAACCATTCAGCCCCAGATTAAAGTTCAACAAATAATTATAAAAGTATTCAACCACATTTGTTGTAAGAGTTACTAAGGAAAAGCACAGGGTGTTTTGAAATGTTCTAATAGGGTACCTGATGTAGCCTAGGGTGCCAGGAGAATGACTGGAAATGGTTTCCTGGGAAAGTGACTTTACTAAGTGAGCAAGAAAGAAGAGAAATAGGCTTAGGTGAGAAGAAAAAGAATTGCAGACAGAAGAAACAGCTCAGAGGCAGAGAGGACTGAACTTGTCTCCTGGGTTTAGCAACACTGAAGTCACTGGTGATCCTGGAAGAGTATAGTGATGGCAACAGAAACAAGGTTCAGGAGAAAATGAGAAACACAAATTTAAGAGAAAGAAACTCTTAAAAGTTTGGCTGTTAAGAGGAAGCAAGATGTTAAAGAAAACAAAATTACAAGATAAGAGAAGTTAGCTCTAGGGTTCTATAGCACTGTAGGATGACTATAGTTAACAGTAATCTTTTTTTTTTTTTTTTTTGAGACAGAGAGCCTTGCTCTGTCACCCAGGCTGGAGTGCAGTGCAATCTCAGCTCACTACAACCTCTGCCTCCCTGGTTCAAGTGTTTTTCCTACCTCAGCCTCCTAAGTAGCTGGGATTATAGGCACCACCACACCTAGCTAGTTTTTGTATTTTTAGTAGAGATGGGGTTTCACCATGTTGGTCAGGCTGGTCTCAAACTCCTGGCCTCCAGTGATCTGCCTGCTTCGGCCTCCCAAAGTGCTGAGATTACAGGCGTGAGTCACCATGACTGGCCTAGTTAATAGTCATCTATTACAGTTAAAAAAAAAATTTTTTTTTTTGAGACAGAGTGCAGCTGTAGAGCATATTCTATGTTCATCACTTCTATGGCAGCTTGCAGTATTAGTTATCTCCTCCTTCTTTTTGACTTTCCCAGCAACAGTTAAATAGACTTTCATCTTAAAAAAATCCCAGGTTAGACACTGAAGCTCACACCTGTAATTTCAGCATTCTGGGAGGCCGTGGAAGGCAGATCCCTTGAGCCCAAGAGTTCGATACTAGCCAGGGCAGCATGCAAAACACCATCTCTACCAAAAACCAAAAATTATCCAGGTGTGGTGGTGCATGCCTGTATTCCCAGCTACTTTGGAGGCTAAGGTGGGACGATCACTTGAGCCCAGGAGGTGGAGGTTGCAGTGAGCTGAGATCGCAGCACTGCACTCCAGCCTGGGTGATAGAGCAAGACCTTGTCTCAATAAAATCATGAACACCACAATCCTCTTCACCTCTCTCCCCTTTTTCAGGGTCAGACTCATCTTCTCTTACCTTTCTAAGGCACCAAATTCCTCGCCAGGTACTTCTTTCTTGCTGCCTTTTTTCCTTAATGTTTTTATTTTACTTACACACACACACACACACACACACACACACACACACACACACACACACGATTTATTTTTAAATTTATTTTAATTTTTTTAGACTAGTCAAGTACAGTAGTGAGAAGGGGGGAAAGAATAGAACAAGGAGTTCGATCTGTAACTGTGAACAATCAATTGAGATAACTCACTACCTTCGGACCAGCCTATTTTATGTATTTTTTAAATTGACAAAGGATCATTGTCCATCTTCATGGGGTACATAGTGACGTGCTGATATACATAAATGTATGGTGATCAGATCAGAGTAATTAGCACATCCATCATCTCAAACATTTATCATTTCTCTGTGTTGGGAACATTCAATATCTTCCTTCAAGCTATTTAAAACTATGTAATAGGCCCGGCACGGTGGCTCACACCTGTAATCCCAGCACTTTGGGAGTCTGAGGCAGGTGGATCAGGAGGTCAGGAGATCAAGACCATCCTGGCCAACGTGATGAAAGCCAGGTTCTACAAAAATACAAAAAATTAGCCAAGCGTGGTGGCGGGTACCTGTAGTCCCAGCTACTTGGAAGGCTGAGGTGGGAGAATCACTTGAACCCAGGAGGTAGAGGTTGCAGTGAGCTGATATGGAGCCACTGCACTCCAGCCTGGCAATAGGGCTAGACTATGTCTCAAAAAACAAAACAAAACAAAAACAAACAAAAAAAGACCAAGCAACCAAACAAACAAAATGTTAAAAACAAAAATTAACCAAGTGTGGTGGCATGTGCCTATAGTCCCATCTACCTGGGAAGTTGAGGCAAGATGACTGCTTGAGACCAGGAAGTCGAGGCTGCAGCAAGCCATGATCATGCCACTGTACTTCAGCCTGGGACACAGTGAGAGACCCTGTCTCAAACCAAAGTTTAAACTAACATTAGCTGGGTGCTGTGGCTCATGCCTGTAATCCCAGCATTCTGGGAGGCTAAGGCAGGAAGACTGCTTGAGGCCAGGAGTTTGAGACCAGCCTGGACAACATAGTGAGACACTGTCTATACAAAAAATATAAAAATCAGCAGGGCATGGTGGCACGTGTCTGCAGTCCTAGCTACTCAGAAGGCTGAGATGGGAGGATAACTTGAGCCCAGGAATTCAAGGTTATAATGAGCTGTGATTGCATCACTGTACTTCAGCCTAGGCAACAGAGTGAGACCCTATCTCTAAAAAATAAAGTAATTAACAGAAAATACAATAAAATTTAGTTACTCACTTACAGCAACCACGTTTCAAGTGCTCAACAGCTGCATGCAGCTAGTGGCCACAGAAAGGGACGGCACTGACCAAGAATATCTCTGTCACTGCAGAAAGTTCTATTGGACAACACCTCTCTAGAACACAAGCAGAATTACCCTAAGCCTTTGACAAGAACAAAGATGTTTCCCCACTATGCAAATGGGAATACTGAATACAGTTATCGATGGAGGCAGGCTTGTTTCTTTGATGAGAAAGGTCTAAGGAGTTGCTATCTAATGGCCTATAGTTTATCTTGGAAATAAGAGCCAAAGGTTGGGTTATTCATGAGGATGAATACAGTTGGAGGTAGGAAGCGTGGTTGGAGTTCTGAGAGGAGGGAGGATAGTCTGAAGTGATGATGATGATGATGATGATGATTAGTATTATTTTCTGAGATAAGGTCTTGCTCTGTTGCCCAGGCTGGAGTGCAGTGGCATGATCCTGGCTCATTGCAACCTCTGCCTCCCAGGTTCAAGAGATTCTCCTGCCTCAGCCTCAGAAGTAGCTGGGATTACAGATACCCGCCACCATGCCTGGCTAATTTTTGTATTTTTAGTCGAGATGGGGTTTTGCCATGTTGGCCAGGCTGGTCTCAAACTCCTGACCTCAGGTGATCTGCCCACCTCAGCCTCCCAAAGTGCAGAGATTATAGGCATCAGCCACCGTGCCTGGCCTAAAATGATTATTACAGAGATTGGGAAAATCTCACTAAGCCTGCCAGAGGGCCCAGCTTAGTTTGGTGGCCAGGAATTTATAGATATGCCTGTACCGTAATGATATCCAGGAGCATTTATGTGTCCAGGTGTAGGTGTGGAGATGTGTAGATTTGACTTATTTAGGTTGTTCAGCCTTCTGCCAGGTAGATGTAAAGAAGGAAAAGGGAGTTGAGAGTAACTGCAGAAAATGAGTGAATTACTATATCACAATATCTAAATTACTTTTTTATTCTGAGATGGAGTCTCACTCTGTCTCCCAGGCTGCAATGCAGTGATGTGATTTTGGCTCACTGCAACTTCTGTCTCCTGGGTTCAGGTGATTCTCCTGCCTCAGCTTCCCAAGTAATTGGGATTACAGGTGTGCACCACCACACCTGGCTAATTTTTTGTATTTTTAGCAGAGATGGGGTTTTATCATGTTGGCCAGGCTGGTCTTGAACTCTGGACCTCAAGTAATACACCTGCCTCAGCCTCGTAAAGTGCTGGGATTATAGGCCTGAGCCACTGCACTTAGCCTCCATTTGGAGAGAAATGAAGATAGAAGGCCACTGCCAAACTGGAAGAAGTGAGGACACAATAAACTAGAGGTCCCAATGAGCTAAGAAAATGTAGATGAGGAGGAAAGGGGTTAATGAACAGAGATGTTTAAATTAGCGGTTTTACAGGGAGGGCAGTTTTTTTTAAAGACAAAGTCTCACACTGTCACCCAGGCTGGAGTGCAGTAGTGCAATCTTGGCTCACTGCAGCCTCCGTCTCCTGGGTTTAAGCAATTCTATTGCCTCAGCCTCCCAAGTAGCTGGGATTGCAGGTGCCCGCCACCACGCCCAGCTAATTTTTTATATTTTTAGTAGAGATGGGGGTTTCACTATATTGGCCAGGTTGGTCTTGAACTTCTGACCTTGTGAGCCGCCTGCCTTGGTCTCCCAAGAGTGCTGGGATTACAGGCATGAGCACGGCACCCGCCTGGGAAGGCAGTTTTGAATGTTGATAAGGTCCAGGGTCTCACTAGTCTCAAACTCCTGGCCTCAGGTGATCCTCCTGCCTTGCCCAAAGAGACAGGATTACAGGCATGCACAACCATGCCTAGCCTGTACTGCTTTTTTTTTTTTTTTTTCCCACTTATTATATAACAGAAATCTTTCTATGTTAAAAAAACTGTAATGTTTACATTATTTCACAGTATTTCCTATTAATAGACATACGTTTTCCTCCTAATTTTACACTACAATAATATAATAAAATACTTGTACTTTTTTTTCCAAAGTTAATTTGTCCTTAGGACAAATTCCTAGAATGAAAATTCCTGGGTCAATTAAAAATTTTAGAACATACTTCTAACTTGGCCTTGTACCAATTCACACTTTTATTTTTTTCACATACTATATTAGCAGAATTTTATAATACTTTTGTTCTTGCCAGGCGCGGTGGCTCATGCCTGTAATCCCAGCACTTTGGGAGGTCGACGGGGGTGGAGCACGAGATCAAGAGATCGAGACCATCCTGGTCAACATGGTGAAACCTCGTCTCTACTAAAAATACAAAACATTAGCTGGGCATGGTGGCGCGTGCCTGTAATCCCAGCTACTCAGGAGGCTGAGGCAGGAGAATTGCCTGAACCCGGGGGCGGAGGTTGCGGTGAGCCAAGATTGCGCCATTGCACTCCAGCCTGGGTAACAAGAGTGAAACTCCATCTCAAAAAAAAAAAAAAAAATGCTTTTGTTCTTACAAGTTTGATAGTAAAAAAAATAATAATAATGTTAATTGCTCCATCAATTTCACTTAATGTCTTATTGATAAGGTTAAACTTCTTTTCATGTCTACTAGTCATGAGTATATCTTTTCCTATGTGTAGCTTCTTTGAGTACTTCTGATCCTACATCCTTTTGTAGACTGTACTTTTGAGAGAAAAACCAGATGGCAGCTGGAGGGACTGATCAGGACTGACCAAGACTGACCACTGCATTGAAGACAAAGGCAAATGTGGCAGCGCCCAGGGGGAAACATTCTAGGGAGTGAAGTCTCTCAGAGCCTCAGGAAATTGAGACAGGAGATCTCTTTATTCTAATGAAACCTCATTTAGTGAAACAAGAAACTGCAGCTTGATGTGAAGATCTGAGGTACTTCAAAATCAGCCAAGTTAACAGACAGTGAGCCCAAGGGCAATTCACTCATAGTGTCATTTGGCAAAGAATGGTTATGAAGAGATCATCCTTCACTTATGAATTTTTCAACAACAAAATAACAAATAAGAGGTTCATGGGAAAAAAAGAGAAGGGGAACACTGCCCTGAGATTTCGGAGGAATAGAACTCCAAAAAGAATTTCCTATAGGAAACAAGAAAATGTGAGAAAGCTGTTTGGCATTCTCATTAGAACATGAAAAGACACCATAGCCTCTATGAAAAGGGGAGTCCCTAGAATCCTAGTATTTTGGGAGGCCAAGGTGGGAGAATCGCTTGAGCCCAGGAGTTTGAGACCATCCTGGGCAACATAGAGAGACTCTTCTCTACTGCCAGCCTGTCATCCCAGCTATTCAGGAGGGCTGTGGTGGGAGGATCACCTTGAGCCCAGAAGGTCAAGGCTCCAGTGAACCTTGATCCTGACACTGCACTCCAGCCTGGGCTACAGCAATCCTGTCTCAACAACAACAACAAAGTGAAAAAAAGCTTATATTGAAGGAAAAATATACAGAAAAACAAAGAAGCAAACAACCCCACAACTTTTTCTTTTTTTTGAGACAGAGTCTCGCTGTTACCCAGGCTGGAGTGCAGTGGCGCGATCCTGGCTCACTGCAACCTCTGCCTCTGAGGTTCAAGCAATTCTCCTGCCTCAGCCTCCTGAGTAGCTGGGACTACTCAGGTGCATGCCACCATGCCAAGCTAATTTTTGTGTTTTTAGTAGAGATGGGGTTTCACCATGTTGGCCAGGATGGTCTCGATTTCCTGACCTTGTGATCCACCTGCCTTGGCCTCCCAAAGTGCTGGGATTACAGGATGAGCCACTGTGGCTGGCTCTTTTTTTTTTTTTTCTTTTTCGATTTTTTCTGGAGTAGAGTCTTACTTTGCTGCCCAGGCTGGAGTGCAGTGGCACGATCTTGACTCACTGCAACCGCTGCCTCCTGGGTTCAAGTGATCCTCCTGCATCACCCTCCAGAGTAGCTGGGACTACAGGTGTGTGCCACCACACCTGGCTTACTTTTTTGAATTTTTAGTAGAGACGGAGTTTTGCCATGTTGGCCAGTCTGGTCTTGAACTCCAGACTCAGGTAATCCACCCATCTTGGCCTCCCAAACTGTTAGGATTACCGGCGTGAGCCACTGCACCTGGCCCCACAACTTTTTCTTTTGTGTCTGTATGCAGGCAATAAAAAAATTTAAAATGTATTACTTGTATAATTAAAAAATTTTAATGTAGACAACGTAATCATATAAATTTTTTTTGTGGTTAATAACATTGGTTCTCTTTGTGAGGTCACAGATGACTTCCTTCCTTCTTTCTGTATTTTTCTAAGTTGTTATAATGAACATGGCACTACTTTGATAATGGTGGGGTGCTTTATCTTTAAAAATTATTCACCTATTACTGGACTAATTACTTACATCCACTATAAAATGTTCAGCCTTCAGCTTTACTTCTAGCGGTACTTTGGGTTTAGCATCAGCAACCTCTTTTGGAAGACATTCATAGCTCTCCTGGAAAACACAAGCCTCCCATGTTAGAATCCATTTTTCATCGTTAAGTGTTCGAGCTACAAACAGGTTTTCTTTATGAAAATGGCACCTAAGAAAAATGATTAGAGATATCCTTAATAAATATCACTCCTACCAATGCCACCCTTTAAACAAATAGAGCAATTTCTGTGAAAAATTGTAAAAGGGAAAAAAAAAATCACCCGGCACGGTGGCTCACGCATGTAATCCCAGCATTTTGGGAAGCTGAGGTGGGCAGATCACCTGAGGTTGAGAGTTCGAGACCAGCTCGACCAACATGGAGAAACACCATCTCTACTAAAAATACAAAATTAGCCAGGTATGGTGGTGCATGCCTGTGATTCCTGCTAATCAGGAGGCTAAGGCAGGAGAATCACTTGAACCCGGGAGGTGGAGGTTGCAGTGAGCCAAGATTGTGCCATTGTACTCCAGCCTGGGCAACAAGAGTGAAACTCCATCTCAAAAAAAAAAAATAAATAAATAAATAATAAAAAACCAAACAAACAAAATTTACATTTTAAAAAATTTTGGCATTAACCTATTAGTACAACAAGAGGAAGTAAAGTATACCCAAGAAATTATTGAGGTAGGATGCGGTTATCAGTATGATTTGTGTTATGGCTTTCTGGCAAAGAGAAAATTCTTCACAAGTAGGAGGTGAAAATAGATATTTGAGTTAAATAAGACAGGTATGTGCCATCTGGGAGACTAACATCCTGTGAAGGAACCAAGTCATTGAAACAGGTCACCATAGCCTCAGTGAAGCTCATGCAGGCATTTTCTTTGAATCTACCCAAATCAGAGACCCACTCTCACTTCCTGAATGAAAGCAAAGATTTGGAGTTAAGTTAGACCTTGCTTTTGAATCCTGGCTAAACATGCTTTCATGAGCAAGTTATTTAATCTCAGCAAAGTCTCAGTTTCTCCATCTGTAAAACAGGCCTAAGAACCCTACACTGTTGTGAAGATTAAATGAGAATTAAAGTAAAGCACTTAGTACAAAGTCATAGTATCATGATAGGTTAGTGGTTTCCTCTTGGAGGACAAAGATAACCTTTCACTAATGGAAAGACACCTGATAACTCAACTCACCCTTTTAATCTTTATTTGTCCTGTTGGCTGGGTCTCACCCACATACTTGTATAAATTACGGTATTCAATACTTTTTAAAATCTCTTGTGCCGCCTTCAATTTGGGATCAGTAGAGTATAAAATCTCCAGAAAAATGTTATCTGCCAATTTGATGACATTTCAGTTATATTAAAATGAAAACACAGAGTTAAAGAGTTATATAGTGCTATGCTACTGAAATGATCTTAACAGGCAGTTCACAAACGTAGGTACCTTATTATTTTAGCAATATAAGAAAATGTTTTAAAAGACTTAAGTGAAAAAACCATATAAAATTGTTCCAGTCGGCTAGTCACAGTGGCTCATTTTTTCTTTTTTGAGATGGAGTCTCTCTGTTGCCAGGCTGGAGTGCAGTGACAAAATCTTGGCTCACTGCAAACTCCCCCTCCTGGGTTCAAGCATTCTTCTGCCTCAGCCTCCCAAGTAGCTGGGACTACATGTGCACACCACCACACCTGGCTAATTTCTGTGTTTTTAGTAGAGACGGGGTTTCATCATATTGGCCAGGCTGGTCTCAACCATGTGATCCACCTGCGTAGGCCTCCCAAAGTGCTGGGATTACAAGTGTGAGCCACCATGCCTGGCCTCTTTTTTTTTTTTTTTTCAGGAGACAAGGTCACATTCTGTAGCCCAGGCTGAAGTACAGTGGCACTATCATAATTCGCTGCAACATAAAAGTCCTGTGCTCAAGCAATCCTCCTGCCTCAGCCCAAGTAGCTGGAACTACAGACGTGTACCACCATACCTGGCTAAATTTTTTTTTTTTTTTGAGACGGAGTTTCACTCTTGTTACCCAGGCTGGAGTGCAATGGCACGATCTCGGCTCACCGCAACCTCCGCCTCCTGGGTTCAGGCAATTCTCCTGCCTCAGCCTCCTGAGTAGCTGGGATTACAGGCACGTGCCACCACCCCCAGCTAATTATTTGTGTTTTTAGTAGAGACAGGGTTTCACCATGTTGACCAGGATGGTCTCGATCTCTTGACCTTGTGATCCACCCGCCTCGGCCTCCCAAAGTGCTGGGATTACAGGCTTGAGCCACCGCGCCCGGCATTTTTTTTTTTTTTTTTTTTTAAACGGGGTCTCGCTCTGTTGTCAGGCTGGAGTGAAGTGGCACGTGCTCTGGTTCACTGCATCCTTGACCTCCTGGGCTGAGGCAATCCTCATGCCTCAGCCTCCTAAGTAGCTGGGACTACAGGCGCATGCCACCATGCCCAGCTAAACTAAAACACAGTTTAAATGTAAGTATAATTTGAAAAAAATAATCTTCCTGCCTCAGTCTCCTGAACAGCTGGGACTAAAGGCACATGTCAACACATCTAGATGAAGATGACTTTTAAAAATATGGCATTACTTGCTTTATTATGAATGAAAATTAAAAGCAAATATCCTCAGCTTGTTCAAATTTTTTTTTACTTTTATTTTATTTTTGAGATGATGTCTTGCTCTGTCATCCAGGCTTGATATCAGCTCACTGCAACCCCTGTCTCCTGTTGATTCTTGTGCCTCAGCCTCCGAGTTGCTGGGACTATAGGCACCTGCCACTACACTCAGCTAATATTTTGCATTTTTAGTAGAGATGGGGGTTCACCATGTTGGTCAGGCTGATCTTGAACTCCTGATCTCAAGTGATCGACCTGCATCTCAGCCTCCCAAAGTGTTGAGATTACAGGCGTGAGCCACCCTGCCTGGCCTTACATATATATTTTTAAAGAACAATGTAGCTGGGCGCGGTGGCTCACGCCTGTAATCCCAGCACTTTGGGAGGCTGAGGTGGGCGAATCACCTGAGGTTGGGAGCTCAAGACCGGCCTGACCAACATGGAAAAACTCCACCTCTACTAAAAATATAAAAAATTAGCTGGGCATGGTGGCATATGCCTGTAATCCCAGCTACTTGGGAGGCTGAGGCAGAAGAATTGCTTGAACCTGGGAGGCGGAGGTTGCAGTGAGCTGAGATCACGCCATTGCACTCCAGCCTGGGCAACAAGAGTGAAACTCTGTCTCAAAAAAAAAAAAAAAAAGAAAAAAAAAGCAATGTATATAGTTTTATAATTTAATTTAATTTGTTCTCTATTATTATTATTTTTGATACAGAGTCTCACCTGCTGCCCAGGCTGGAGTGCAGTGGTGCAATCTTGGCTCACTGCAACCCCAAACTCCTGGGCTGCAGTGATTCCCCAGCCTCAGCATCTTGAGTAGCTGGGACTACAGGCACACACCACCATGGCTAATTTTTAAATTTTGTGTAGAAACAGGGTTTCACCATGTTGCCCAGACTGGTCTCAAACTCCTGGGCTCAAGCAATCCATCTGCCTTGTCTCCCAGAGCACTGGGATTACAGGTATGAGCCACCTTGTCTGCCTATTATGTATCTTTTGATTAAATTTACTGAAATGTAATGTGAAGTCTGTCAAGTTGAATAATAAAAATTTGGGCTTGTATTTTACATGTCTTTTCCCCCCATTTCATTTTTCTAGTAATTCATTTTTATCATACTTTACAGAAATATCAATCTGTTAGGGTTGGTAATTTAAGAAACTGGTTCTACAAAGACAGTTTAGGAGGAGCTACTTTAGGTTTCATTCTGTCAGTGTGCAGCAAATAGAATCCAGCTGTGGTAGAACAGCAGCATTCTAGGCAGGAAGCTATGGTATAGAGATTTGGTTTGGGTCTTAGGTCATTTGGCTTCTGTTGTTTTCTCCATTTTCAGAGCCTCCAGCCTTTCCACTGATTCTGTAAGCTATAGGATTGCTTTCCAATTTAATTTTTATTTTTTGTTTATTTATTTTTAAGATAGAGTTTTGCTGTGTTGCCCAGGCTGGAGTGCAGTGGCACGATCTTGGCTCACTGCAACCTCTGCCTCCTGGGTTCAAGTGATTCTCCTGCCTCAGCTTCCTGAGTAGCTGGGATTACAGGTGCATGACACCACACCTGGCTAATTTTTGTATTTTTAGTAGAGATAGTGTTCTACCATTTTGGCCAGGCTGGTCTCAAACTCCTGGCCTCAGGTAATCTGCTCACCTCAGCCTCCCAAAGTGCTGGAATTACAGGCATGAGCCACTGAACCTGGCCCAATTTTATTTTTAGTTAAATGGTTTCATAATTTTTAACTAAGAACTCTGACTGCTGTACACTTTTTGTTCTACTTCTTTTGCTTTATCTCAGGCAATACTTTCCCACAATAATGAACCACCTGTGGTTCACCTCTCTTTCCTCCTTTCCACACTAAGCTGAAGATTTTGTTTCTGCAAAAATGTGAATTGATGTTCCTGGCATCTTGTGTTTTTGCAATTAAAATAATCTTAAATGGCCAAGTCAGTTTGTTGGTATTCAGGTATATTATGAGTTAAATAATGACAAGTCTGGGCAACATAGTGGGACCCTGTCTCTACAAAAGTTTAAAAAACTGGCCAGGCGCAGTGGCTCACTCCTGTAATCCCAGCACTTTGGGAGGCTGAGGTGGATGGATCACGAGGTCAAGAGATCGAGACCATCCTGGTCAACATGGTGAAACCCCCTCTACTAAAAATACAGAAAATTAGCTGGGCAAGGTGGCGCGTGCCTCTAATCCCAGCTACTCAGGAGGCTGAGGCAGGAGAATTGCCTGAACCCAGGAGGCGGAGGTTGTGGTGAGCCAAGACTGCGCTATTGCACTCTAGCCTGGGTAACAAGAGCAAAACTCTGTCTCAAAAAAAAAAAAAAAAAAAAAAAAAAAAAAAAAAACTACCCAGGTGTGGTGGTATATGCCTATAGTCCCAGCTACTTGGCTGAGGCTGAGGCGGCAGGATCACTTGAGCTCAGGAGGTTGAGGCTCCAATAAGCTGTGATGGCACCACTGCACTCCAGCTTGGATGACAGAATAAGATCCTGTCTCCAAAAAATAAAAAAAATAAATAAAAATAAAATTAAACAGTTAAATAATGGGCCGGGTGTGGTGGCTCATGCCTATAATCCTAGCACTCTGGGAGGCCAAGGCAGACAGATCACCTGAAATCATGAGTTCAAGACCAGCCTGGCCAAAAAGGTGAAACCCCATCTCTACTAAAAACACAGAAATTAGTGGGACATGGTAGGCTATGCCTGTAATCCCAGCTATTCAGGAGGCTAAGGCAGGAGAATCGCTGAAACCTGAGAGGTGGAGGCTGTAGTGAGCCAAGATTGTGCCATTGCACTCCAGGCTGAGTGATAGATCGAGACTCCGTCTCAAAAAATAAAAGTAGAATAATTCATATTGAGTACTTATTTCTCAAGTCTATACTTGGTGCTATGCCACATTTAAACAACACAACAAACTATATGCTAGGTATCATTACCCTCATTTTATAGATGAGAGGTTCAGGTAGGTTAAATCACTCAGTCAAGGTTACTTTATCAGTACAAGACAGAAATAAAACTCAAATTCAAAAGGAGATAATTACTTGGGAAGCTAAAATACTTCCATTGGCTGGGTGCAGTGGCTCACACCTGTAATCCTAGTACTCTGGGAGGTCAAGGCAGGAGGATCGCTTGAGCCCAGGAGTTTGAGAGCAGCCTGAGCAATATTGTGAGACCCCTTCTTTATTTTTGTAAAATTAAATAATTTTTAAAAATGAAAAATAAAATAAAGAAAAATAACCTATTGGCAATTCAGAGACATCTTATAGTTTATCTGAGGTGGACTGTCTATGTTACCTGTTTCTTCTTACCTGTCAGCTTAGTGTAGGCTTCCATGTCATCAATTGCTGTAGAAATGCTATACTTCTTTCCTTCAGTACCTGTGATCTCTATGTAGGGGTCTGCTTTGAGGAATGCATCTGTAATCCTAAAAATAATTTTGCAAAAATTGATGCCTATGAGAAATTTTGAATATTTGCCTTATGTCTTGCTTAAGGAAATCTACTTTTGGGAAATAAAATAATGAGGCACAATGTTCTAAAGACAATTGCTTCTCAACCATACTAACCATGTGCATGGTGGCCTGTGAGCTATCATGCTGACTGTGTTCCAGGCACTGCGGCAGGGCTTTACATGCATCATCTTCTTTGATCTTCCCAACAGTAAGGTAGGGGTATTCAGTCCCAATATATATGTATTTTTTTTTTAGAGATGGGGTTTCACCATTTTGGCCAGGCTGGTCTCAAACTCCTGACCTCAGGTGATCCAGCCACCTCGGCCTCCCAAAGTGCTGGGATTACAGGCGTGAGCCACTGCACCCGGCCCAGCCCCAATTTTATAGATACAGAAATGAAGTGAATTTTCATTTAACCAACTTAGGAAGAAACAGTGCCAGGCTTTGAACTTAGATCTCTCTGAATTCAACAACAACAACAACAACAACTCTTACCAAAGTATTAACATACAAATAGGAGAATGTATTCCAAGTAATCTGCTCATGACAAAGGATAGGTGAAAAATAGGAATGAAGATAAATTTCCTCAACAAAAATGTAAAAACGAAATGAAAGGTTAATCAATTTAAGGCTATTTTAGAGTCATGGAAGAAGTAACTTGACTCACACCCAGTGTTTAATAACTCCTTATGGAGTCTTTGAGTCCTGTGGAGACCTGGCTGCACAGTTTTCTGCTACGGTTCTGACTGGGTCAGGAAGAGGTAAAATTCCTGTTCGTTTTACCATTTGGTACTATTTTTGATGAATATTTGACAGGATAGAATTAGACATTAATCTTAATCCTTAAAGTTTATTTTTGTAATTAATCTCAGAATTCAAATATTCATGCCCTACCTCCCATTCTCCTGATGACTTATATCTGGTATGTAAGTGACTACCTGTTCAGAGGTCCTGAGTGATCCCAGCACTGCCGCTTCACGCCTGGCCGAAGCCAGCTCTTCTTCATCTGCCCCTTTAATCATTTCCCTCCTTTTCCTCCAACTAAATTATATTCTAGAGTTTTCATTAAGGAAACTATTTTAGATTTAATCACTTAATATTCACTTGAACTTATCTAGAAATGTCAAGTTGAGCCTAGTATGATACTCTAGCAAAGTATCATGGAATATTTTATAGGGAAATGACCATCAAGTTTCTTACATTGTATCAATGATGTTGCCAACTTTGTGTTGATAAGCTCTACGGTGTAAACAGTTGCGAGTGTGGAACATGTCATACAGATTTCCAACTTCCTGCAGGAAAATATGAAATAAATATTAATAGGATCAAATTACATTAACCTTATTAATAGACAAGTATATAGGACAAGGAAAAGGGATAGTGGCATAGTGGCAGATAAGAGGGCTATCTATGCACAGGGGCTACTTCATTAACACCTTCGAGCCTAATAACAAATCAGGAGGCAGATTAGTAAAGCCATTTATTGGCTTGCAATTTTCATTCCCCCTTCCTCTTTTTTTTTTAAAGACAAGTTCTTTTAGGCTGGTATGAAGTGATTATCCCATCTCAAACTTGCTGGGACAATATGCATCAGCCATTGTGCTCGGCTAACTTTCATTCCCATTTTTTTTTTTTTTTTTTTTGAAATAGAGTCTTGCTCTGTTGCCCAGGCTGGAATTTAAGTCTTTCATTGCAAGAACTGTCATTCTTAATAAACTACGCTGGGCACGGTGGCTCACACATGTAAATCCCAGCACCTTGGGAGGTCGAGGTGGGCAGATCACCTGAGGTCAGGAGTTTAAGACCAGCCTGGCCAAAATGGTGAAACCCCGTCTCTACAAAAATACAAAAATTAGCTGGGCAAGATGGCGATTGCCTGTAATCCCAGCTACTCAGGAGGCAGAAGAATTGCTTGAACCCACGAGGCAGGGGTTGCAGTGAACCAAGATCGCATCATTGCACTCCAGCCTGGGTGATAGAGCGAGAGTCTGTCTTGGAAAACAAAAACAAAAACAAACTCCTAAAATCTACTATGTGCTCAAACTCTGTGACAGGTTCCGTTTTAGGCCTCTTAAATTATATATGTGAATCCTCCCAATAACTCTAGGAAATAGGTATTGTTATTCTTATGTTCTTCATTCTTGACTTTTTTTTTTTTTTTGAGACCATCTCACTCTGTCACCCAGGTTGGAGTTCAGTGGCACATAAGCTCAGCTAACTGCAACCTCCACCTCCCTGGTTCAAGCAACTTTCATACCTCAGCCTCCCAAGTAGCTGGGATTATAGGTGTGTGCTACCACGCCTGGCTTAATTTTTGTATTTTCAGTAGAGACAGGGTTTCACCATGTTGGCTGGGATGGACTCAAACTTACAAGCTCAATTGATCCGCCTGCCTTGGCCTCACAAAGTAGTGGGATTACAGGCATGAGCTACCACACCTAGCCATTCTTGACTTTCTATAGTATAGTACTATACTACTTTTTTTTTTTTTTTTTTTTTTTTTTGAGACGGAGTTTCGCTCTTGTTACCCAGGCTGGAGTGCAATGGCGCGATCTCGGTTCACCGCAACCTCCGCCTCCTGGGTTCAGGCAATTCTCCTGCCTCAGCCTCCTGAGTAGCTGGGATTACAGGCACGTGCCACCATGCCCAGCTAATTTTTTGCATTTTTAGTAGAGACGGGGTTTCACTATGTTGACCGGGATGGTCTCGATCGCTTGACCTTATGATCCACCCGCCTCGGCCTCCCAAAGTGCTGGTATTACAGGCTTGAGCCACCGCGCCCGGCCTATACTACTTTTTGATTACATGACTGCCATCTAACAGGGACCTGGGGACTTCACTTGTTTAACCACAGCTGACCTTTAACAACACATGCTTGAAATGTGAGTTCAATTATACAGATTTTCTTGCCCCGCCACCATCCCTGAGACAGTAAGACCAAGGCCTCCTCTTCCTGAGCCTACTTAATGTGAAGATGATAAGGATGAAGACCTTTAGGATGACCACTTCCACTTAATAGTAAGTGCCTTATGATTTTTTTCTTTTTTTTTTTTTTTTTAGGGGACAAAGCCTTGCTCTGTCGCCCAGGCTAGAGTGCAGTGGAGCAATCTTGGCTCACTGCAACCTCTGCTTCCGGGGTTCAAGTGATTCTCCTGCCTCAACCTCCCAAGTAGCTAGGATTATAGGCACGTGCTACTGTATCCAACTAATTTTTGTATTTTTGGTAGAAATGGAGTTTCACCATGTTCGCCAGCCTGATCTCAAACTCCTAACCTCAAGGGATCTGCCAGCCTTGACCTCCCAAAGTGCTGGGATTACAGGAGTGAGCCACTGTACCTGGGCTTGCCTTATGATTTTCTTAATAACGTTTCTCTAGCTTACTTTATTGTAAGAATACAGTAGACTGGGGATAGAGGTTCATACACATGAGCACTTTGGGAGGCCAAGGAGGATGAATTGCTTGAGGTCAGGACTTTGAGACCAGGCTGGGCAACATAGCAAAACCCTGTCTCTACAAAAAATAAATAAATAAATAAAAATAGAAAAAATTAGCCCAGTGTAGTGGCCATGCACCTGTGGTCCCAGCTACTCAGGAAGCTGAAGTGGGAGATTTGCTTGAGCCTGGAAGGTGGAGGATGCAGTGAGCTGAGATCATGCCACTATACTCCAATCTGGGTGACAGAGTAAGATCCTGTATCAAAAAAAAAAAAAAAAAGAATATGGTATATGATACATGTACCATTCAAAATAGGCTGAATGCAGTGGCTCACACCTATAATCATAGCACTTTGGGAGGCTGAGGTAGGTAGGGTGGGTTGCTTGAGCCCAGGAGTTTGAATCTAGTCTGGGCAACATACTGAAACCCCACCTCTATAAAATTAATTGAAAAATTAACCAAGCATATGCCTGTAGTCCCAGCTACTCAGGAGGAAGAGGAGGGAAGATCAGTTGAGCCCAGGAAGTCAAAGCTACAGTGCACTCTGACAGTGCCACTGTACTCCAGCCTGAGTAATAGAGCAAGACCCTGTCTGGAAAGAAAACAAAAGACAAAACTAAAAAACCATACAAAATGTGTGTAATTTACTATTAAGTTTTTCAAGAAGGCTTCTGGTCAACAGGAGGGTATCAGTAGTTAAGTTTTTGGGAAGTCAAAAGTTACACGCAGGCCGGGTGGAGTGGCTCATGCCTGTAATCCCAGCAGTGTAGGAGGCCAAAGAGGGTAGATCACTTGAAGTCAGGAGTTTGAGATCAGCCTGGCCACATGGTGAAACCCCATTTCTACTGAAAATACAAAAATTATGGGCCGGGCGCAGTGGTTCATGTCTGTAATCCTAGCACTTTGGGAGGCTGAGGTGGGCGGATCATGAGGTTAAGAGATTGAGACCATCCTGGCCAACATGGTGAAACCCCATCTCTACTAAAAATATAAAAATTAGCTGGGCGTGGTGGCATACTCCTGTAGTCTCAACTACTTGGGAGGCTGAGGCAGGAGGATCACTTGAACCCGGGAGGCAGAGGTTGCAGTGAGCCAAGATCACGCCACTGCACTCCAGCCTGAAAACAGAGCAAGACATGGTCAAAACACACACACACACACACACAATTACACAATCAGCCGGGCATCTGTAAACCCAGTTACTCCTGAGGCTGAGGCAGGAGAATCACTTGAACCGGGAGGTGGAGGTAGCAGTGAGCAGAGATCGTGCCACTGCACCACAGCGTGGGTGACAGAGGGAGACTCTGCCTCAAAAAAGAAAAGTTATATACAGATTTTCCACTAGGAGAGGGGGCAACAGCCCCTAAACACCATTTTGCTCAGGTGTCAACTATATAAAAATTTTCAGCACTAATATAGTGATTGAAAAGAAGATTCTGGGCCAGGCGCGGTGGCTCAAACCTGTAATCCCAGCACTTTGGGAGGCTGAGGTGGGTGGATCACGAGGTCAAGAGATCGAGACCATCCTGGTCAACATGGTGAAACCCCGTCTCTACTAAAAATACAAAAAATCAGCTGGGCATGGTGGTGCGTGCCTGTAATCCCAGCTACTCAGGAGGCTGAGGCAGGAGAATTGCCTGAAACCAGGAGGTGGAGGTTGCGGTGAGCCGAGATGGCGCCATTGCACTCCAGCCTGGGTAACAAGAGCGAAACTCCAGCTCAAAAGGAAAAAAAAAAAAAAAAAAAGAAAGGAGATTCTGAAACCAAACTTTCTGGGTTGAAATTCCAACTCTATCAGTTGCTAATTATATGCCTTCTCTGTCCCTTAATTTGCTCGCCTGTTGAATGGAATAATAGTATCTATCTCACAGGATTTTAAGGATTGAGTTGATCTAACTGAAGAAGCACTTAAAATAATGCCTTACACAAGCCAGGCATGATAGTATGTACCTGTAGTCCCAGCTACTTGGGAGGCTGAGGAAGGAGGATCACTTGAGCTCAGGAGTTCAAGACTAGCCTGGGCAACACAGTGAGATCCTATCTCAAAAAACAAAAAAACAAAAAGTAAACAACACATGATAGTGTACACCTGTAGTTTCAGCCAAAAAACCCCCAAAACTAGTGTCTAAATCAAAACTTAATAAATGTCCATTTTAATTTTATTACTTTTTAACAATGCAGTAGAAGTGAAGAGATTAAAGATATTTACAAATCCTAGGAATTAAGTAAAGAGATTGATGATTTACCAATTATTTCATACTGTTAACTGGTTCTTTGCAAATTTCAGACCAGAAACAACACTCTTCTTGCTGTTTCCTCTGACATAGCTTACCTTATCTCTAGTACAAATATGCAACTTGCTTTCTACTTCACAGACACGGGCAAACTTAATAAAACGCTTGTAATCAAAATTATTTTGGATTCCAAGATGATGGCAGTCCCTAGAAGGATTCCAAAGCAGAGATATGAAATCTTTCAACATGGAAGCTGTACCTTAAATAGTGATACTAAATTTATACAAAGATTTTAGCCAATTTTTCAGAAGTGTTTAGTGCATACCTGGCAAAATAATCCCACTTGTCCACATCAATGCCATTTCTTTTATTAGCCACTATCTCATAAAGGAAGCTTTTCTCTTTAGGACGCCCTTTATATGGCCACTGGAAGGCAAGAAAACCCACTGGAAGTTTTAGGATAGGCACCAAATCTATTTATAAGCAAAGCAAAGCAATTCTATTAATCTGTAAATTATAAACAGATATGAGATAAACTAGACGGTTCTAATCTTTCCTTCTTCCACTTCATTTCTAAACTAGTAAAGAGGGAAAAGAAATGCTAAGGTATATGATACCCTATTGTTACCACATTTTCTTGTGCCACTGAAAAGATCTTAACTCTATTACATTTCCCAAAACCAACAACTTTTGAATTTTCTTGGTTTATAAGTTTTCTAAAAATATAAAACCTAGGCCAGGTGTGGTGGCTCATGCCTGTAATCGTGGCACTTTGGGAGGTCAAGCCAGGTGGATCGTGAAGTCAGGGGTTTGAGACCAGCTGGCCAAGATGGTGAAATCCCGTCTCTACTAAAAATACCAAAATTAGCCAGGTATAGTGGTGGGTGCCTGTAGTCTCAGCTACTTGGGAAGCTGAGGCAGGAAAATCACCTGAACCCAGGAGGTGGAGGTTGCAGTGTGCCAAGACTGCGCCACTGCACTCTAGCCTGGGTGACAGAACAAGACTCTATCTTAAAAAAATTAAACTTTTAAAATATATGTAATCTAATTAATAATGCCTGATTTCATGCATTAAAACAGTACTATCTTTCAAAGTAGCTACACACCTAATCTAAATAATATACATTCTTCAAAGTATTCTTTGAGCTTCATTTTTTTGGAAATAGGATATTTGCTACAAAACCTATCTCTTTATAAGTATACTTGTATATATTTGAGAAAAAAGCCCTGAAAGTCTCAGGGGAAAATTATTTTCCAACTTTATTTTTATTTTTATTTTTATTTTAGACGGAGTTTCGCTCTGTTACCCAGGCTGGAGTGCAATGGCGCGATCTCGGCTCACCGCAACCTCCGCCTCCTGGGTTCAGGCAATTCTCCTGCCTCAGCCTCCTGAGTAGCTTGGATTACAGGCATATGCCACCATGCCCAGCTACTTTTTTGTATTTTTAGTAGAGACGGGGTTTCACCATGTTGACCAGGATGGTCTTGATCTCCTGACCTTGTGATCCACCCGCCTCAGCGTCCCAAAGTGCTGGGATTACAGGCTTGAGTCACCATGCCCGGCCCCAACTTTATTTTTAATTAAAAAAAAAAAAAAAAACCCGAAAGATCAAAAAGGAAACAAAATAGATTCTCCATTAAACCGGTTCAACTTTTTTGTAGATCTTCATATATCTAAACATTTCAAATAAGATTTTTAAAAATTCAGAGACAGCGTCTAGCTCTGTTGCCCAGGCTGGACTGCAGCTGCACAATCACAGCTCACTGCAGCCTGCCTCAGCCTCCGAAGCTGAAGACTACAGGCATGAGACAGGGTTTCAGTATGTTACCCAGGCTGATCTCAAACTCCTGGGCTCAAGTGATCCTGTCACCTTGGCCTCCCAAAGTGCTGGGATTACCGGCATGAGCCACTGAGCTTGGCCAAATATGTTTGTTTTAACGGTTAAATGAAACACACATTTACATTCCAAACAAAGTTACTTTAGGATTCTATATAAAATAATGTAGGCTCATGCCTGTAGTCCTAGCACTTCGAGAGGCCAAAGTGGGAGAGCCCAGGAGTTCGAGACCAGCTTAGGCAACATAGTGTGACCACATCTCTAAGAAAAGTGTTTTTTAAATGAATAAAATACTGCATATATATTCACTAAAAAAGAACTTACGGCCGGCTGCGGTAGCTCACATCTGTAATCCCAGCACCTTGGGAGGCTGAGGTGGGCGAACTACCTGAGGTCAGGAGTTTGAGACCAGCCTGGCCAACATGGTGAAACCCCATCTCTACTAAAAATACAAAAATTAGCCAGGCATGATGGCACATGCCTGTAATCCCAGCTACTCGGGAGGCTGAGGGAGGAGAATTGCTTAACCCTGGGAGATGGAGGTTGCAGTGAGCTGAGATCATGCCACTGCACTCCAGCTTAGCTGACAGAGTGTGACTCTGTCTCAAAAAAAAAAAAAAAAAAAAAAGAATTTATGCTGAGCACAGTGGCCCACACCTGTAATCCCAGCATTTTCAGAGGCAGAGGTAAGTGGATCACTTGAGTTCAGGAGTTCAAGATCAGCCTGGGCAACATGACAAAACCCCATCTCTACAAAAAATACAAAAATTAGCTGGGCATGGTAGTGCATATTTGTGGTCCCAGCTACTCAGGAGTCTGAGGTGGGAGGATCACTTGGGCCTGGGAGGTAGAAGTTGCAGTGAGCTGAGACTGTCCCACTGTATTCTAGCCCTAGTGACAGAGTGAGACCCTGTCTCAAAAAAAAGAAAAAAGAAAAAAAAAAGAATTTATATATTTTTTGGGAAGTAACTTCAAAATAATTCAGTTGAGAGGTAGAAAAAATATAAGCCTTTTATTGTCGCATTAAACAGTAGAAATATAGAATTCATATTTTATCATTTAGCCTCTAAAATAGCCAAATGTATAACTCGGAAGGAATCATGAAAAGGCTAGATGAAAAGCACCAGTCAGTTAAAATTAAGTTGTACATAAACTTACCAAAGAATCTTTTTTGATAGGTGATTCAAGTGGTCCTGCAATTTGTTCCTTAATAAAGCAAATATCTTCTTCAGGGATGAGACCATAGCTTTCCATGACAGCCTTGAGTCCATTAGAATTAATTAGGTGCTCAAACATCTTAACTGAGCCTTGTTCATGCTAGGAAAAATAAACACAATATGATGTGTTATAGGTTCTGGCCCACTGAGGGCCCTGATTTAATAAAATTATCCTCAATTCCAAGTAATTCTGAGATACGGGTCTATTGCATATTAATTCTCTAGTTTCTAACCATAGTTTTAGGAACATTAAAAACCTGTCAGGTTTTTCATGATTTTACTAGTCTGCAAACCTTTTACAAATCATATTATTTCATAAACATATTTAATGCACTTTATGATATAATATAGTACCTAAATGAATATTACAAGATCAGGTAGATAGGATTACATTTTAATAAATATCATAAAATTGAACTTTATTTTTTCATCAGCCTTTGAACATGTGCAGTTATAAACTGCCATCTAGTGGTGAAAAGGAGTAGCTGCAAACTTGCCAGTAAAAACAAAGATCTCAAATTGGCCTCAGTTTGCTTATTCTCTGCTCACTCATTCGCAATCAATGTAAAGGAACAAAAGAACCCCTGAAGACATCTGCCCTTTCCTAGGACCTACAAAAAGTAAGATAACAAAACCCAAATTGTCCTATATTCTTTCTTTCTTTCTTTTTTAAGAGATAGGGAATCTCTCTTGCCCAGGCTAGAGTGCAGTGAGGTGATCATGGGCTCAATCCAGCCTTGAACTCCTGGGCTCAAGCAATCCTCCCACTTCAGCCTCCCGAGTAGCTGGGACCAGAGGTGCACACCACCCCACCCAGCTAATTTTTAAATTTTTTGTAGAAGCAGGGTCTTGCTTTGTTGCCCAGGTTGGTCTTGAACGCCTAAGCTCAAGTAATCCTCCCGCCTCAGTCTCCCAAAGTGGTAGGATTATAAGCACCTCACCCTATAACTATTTCCACCCCGCACGTGCCCCGCCCCAGGAAAAAATTCTTGCTCCAGAAACTACTCTTAAAAGCGGAATCAGGGTCGGGGACGGTGGCTCACACCTGTAATCCCAGCATTTTGGGAGGCCAAGGTGGGAGGATCTCTTTAGGTCAGGACTTCAAATTTGGCCAACATGGCAAAACCCCATCTCTACTAAAAAATACAAAAATTAGCCAGGCATGGTGGCACACACCTATAATCCCAGCTACTTGGGAGGCTGAGGCAGGAGAATCACTTGAACCCAGGAGGCAGAGGTTGCAGTGAGCCAAATTTGCCCCACACTCTAGCCTGGGCAGGCAATAGAGTGAGACTCTGTCTCAAAGAAAATAAAAATAAAAATAAAAATAAACCCAAAACCCAAAACAGAATCAGGCTGGGTGCAGTGGCTCATATTTGTAATCCCAGCATTTTAGGAGGCAGAGGTGGGAGGACTGCTTGAGCCCAGGAGTTTGAGACCAGCCTGGGCAACAAAGCAAGACCCCGTCTCTAGAAAAAAATTTAAAAGTTAGCTGAGTATAGTGGCATGCGCCGGTGGTCCCAGCTACTTGGGAGACTAAGGCAGAAGGATTGCTTGAGCCCAGGTGGTTGACACTGCAGTTAGCTGTCTTCATGCCTGCACTCCAGCCTCAGCAACAGAGCAAGACCTTGTCTCTAAACAAACAAACAAAAAAAATTGAATCAAGATATATATATATATATACACACACACACACACACAAAGAGGAAAAACAGTAACTTTATAGTGGAGAAATTTGACAGACAATGCCTTAACCAAGTAAGCAGAATTAATATTATTGGTATTGGCTCAACTAGATTTTATGTGCCTCCTGAGATGATACACCATCAAGGACGTATCACTTTTTTTTTTTTGAGACAGAGTCTAGCTCTGCCACCCAGGCTGGAGTGCAGTGGCACGATCTTGGCTCACTGCAACCTCTGCCTCCCAGGTTCAAGCAATTCTCCTTCCTCAGCCTCCCAAGTAGGTGCATGCCACCACACCCAACTAATTTTTTTTTTTTGAGACGAAATTTCACTTTTGTCCCCCAGGCTGGAGTGAAATGGTGTGATCTCAGCTCATTGCAACCTCCACCTCTGAGGTTCAGGCGATTCTCCTGCCTCAGCCTCCCAAGTACCTGGGAATATAGGCGTCTACCACATCCACCTTTTTTTTTTTTTTTTTGAGATGGAGTCTTGCCCTGTTGCCAGGCTGGAGGGCAGTGGTGCCATCTTGGCTCACTGCAACCTCTGCTGCCTGGGTTCAAGCGATTCTTCTGCCTCAGCCTTCCAAGTAGCTGGGACCACAGGTGTGTGCCACCACACCTGGCTGATTTTTGTATTTTTAGTAGAGGCGGGGTTTCACTATGTTGGCCAGGATGGTCTCTGTCTCTTGACCTCGTGATCCCCCTGCCTTGGTCTCCCAAAGTGCTGGGATTACAGGCGTGAGCCACTGCACCCAGCCCCACCTAATTTTTATATTTTTAGTACAGACAGGGGTTTGCCATGTTGACGGGGCTGGTTTCAAACTCCTGACCTCAGGTGATCCACCCACCTCTTCCTCCCAAAGTGCTGGGGTTACGGTGTGAGCCACCACGCCTGGCCTGGACACATCACTTTTGTGGCATTCTATCAAAAATGCACAGCTTGAATCCATGATGAAACATTACATTGAAACTCAAATTGAGGAACATTACATAAAATAGCTCACTTGCTCTTTAATAAAATGACAAAGTCACCCAAGATAAAGACTGAAGAATTGTTCCCGATCAAAAGAAACTAGAAAAATGGCAAGTAAATGCAATGTATAATTCTGGACCAGAGAAAAAAAATTTTTCCCCCTTTTTCTATATGGACAATTAGTAAAATTTGAAAGTCTGAATCAGATAAGAGTACTGCATCAACATTTACTGATTTTTATAATTATACTATGGTTATATAAGAATTTTTTTTTTAGGAAATACCCACTGAAGTATTTAGAAATAAAGTATTTCAACAATTTAACTTTCTTTCTTTTTTTTTTTTAATTTATTTTTTATTTTTTTATTTTTTTGAGATGGAGTTTCGCTCTTATTACCCAGGCTGGAGTGCAATGGTGCGATCTCGGCTCACCGCAACCTCCGCCTCCTGGGTTCAGGCAATTCTCCTACCTCAGCCTCCTGAGTAGCTGGGATTACAGGCACACGCCACCATGCCCAGCTAATTTTTTGTATTTTTAGTAGAGACGGGGTTTCACTATGTTGACCGGGATGGTCTCGATTTCTTGACCTCATGATCCACCCGCCTCGGCCTCCCAAAGTGCTGGGATTACAGGCTTGAGCCACCGCGCCCGGCCTATTTTTTTTTTTTTTTTGAGACGGAGTTTCGCTCTTGTTACCCAGGCTGGAGTGCAATGGCGCGATCTTGGCTCACCGCAACCTCCGCCTCCTGGGTTCAGGCAATTCTCCTGCCTCAGCCTCCCGAGTAGCTGGGATTACAGGCACGCGTCACCATGCCCGGCCAATTTTTTGTATTTTTAGTAGAGACGGGGTTTCACCATGTTGACCAGGATGGTCTTGATCTCTTGACCTTCTGATCCACCCGCCTCGGCCTCCCAAAGTGCTGGGATTACAGGCTTGAGCCACCGCGCCCAGCCCTATTTTTTTTTTTTTTTTTTTTTTAAGACGGAGTCTTGTTCTATCGCCACACTGGAGCACAGTGGTGAGATGCCAGCTCACTGCAACTTCTGTTTTCCAGTTTCAAGCAATTCTCCTGCCTCAGCCTCCCAAGTAGGTGGGACTACAGGGGCGTGTCACCACGGCCGGCTGTTTTTTGTATTTTTAGTTGAGATGGGGTTTCACTATGTTAGCCAGGATGGCCTGAATCTACTGACCTCATGATCCACCTGCCTCGGCCTCCCAAAGTGAAGCGGGGTGTGATCACAAAGAGGTGGTGATCACAAAAGTTGTCAGGAATGTTCACTGGGTTACAGAAATAACGTTAGTTAGTGATTGGCCATATATTGTTGAACTACGGGGTGTACGGCATTTGATGGTTACCTGGCATCCCACATAGCAGCTGGCTTCAAGAGGTAATAATTATTTAGCTCAAGGGAGAGTGATGTGATTGCTGTTCTATTTCAATGCCTCTCTGGGCCTGATAATGTAAAAGGGCTCATATTTCTGATAAAAAATTCGTTTTTTCTTTCCCAAGTAACAAGTGTGAAAACAGAACAGAATGCATAATGATTCATCACATATGAGAAGTTAATAAACGTTGAAGTTGGTATTATAGTCAGTTGGGATAGGATGAACTATTTAAATATTTGATTTCTCCCACATACTTACACAAAAATAAACTGTACATGAGCTACGGATTTAAATGTAAAAGGCAAAATACTTAAAGGAAAAGACTTGGTAATGATTAAGTAGATCCTATTAGATCAACTGCAGGAGAAAATAGCTATAAGCTCTGAACAACTCCCTGAAGGTCCTGGAGAGCAACCAAAACCAAGCGGAAGATAGACATCAATGCTTCGAAGGGAGAGGTACTGAGCGACATTCCAGTTTTATGGTTTTTAGCCTGAGGGCAGGCCCAGGACAGAAAAAGTGGTGAGAAAGTATCTATTTTACTGGCTTGATGAACCAGAGTACTTCATCAAAATTTAAAACGTCTGTTTTTCAAAAGGCATCATTAAAAATGAATTGGCAAGCCAGACACTGGGGAAAAATATTCACAATATATTTACCTAACAATATATATATAAGGAATTCCTAGTCTGGCATGGTGGCTCACACCTGTAATTCCAGAACTTCGGGAGGCCAAGGTGGATCATGAATGAGGTCAGGGGTTCAAGACCAGCCTGGCCAACATAGTGAAACCCCATCTCTACCAAAAATAGAAAAAATTATCTGGGCTTGGTGGCAGATGCCTGTAATCCTATCTACTTGGGAGGCTGAGGCAGAAGAATCACTTGAACCCGGGAGGTGGAGGTTGCAGTAAGGTGAGATCGCACCACTGCACTCCAGCCTGGGTTACAGTGCAAGACTCTGTGTCAAAAAAAAAAAAAAAAATTGCTACAAATCGATAATCAAAGAGCAAGCAATCAAACTTTTTAAATGAGTAAAACGTTGAGAGTTCTTTGCAGAAGAAGACATATCAATAACAAAGTAGAGGCCGAGTGTGGTGGCTCACACTTATAATCCCAGCAGTTTGGGAGGCCAAGGCAGGCAGATCACCTGAGGTCAGGAGTTCAAGACCAGCCTGATCAACATGGATAAACCCTGTCTCTACTAAAAACACAAAAATTAGCCAGGCATGGTGGCACATGCCTGTAATCACAGCTACTCGGGAAGCTGAGGCAGGAAAATCGCTTGAACCCGGGAGGTAGAGGTTGCAGTGAGCTGGGATTGTGCCATTGCACTCCAGCCTGGGCAACAAGAGCAAAACTCCATCTCAAAGAAAATAATAATAATAATAATAATAATAATAATAATAATAATAATAGGGCCGGGCGCGGTGGCTCAAGCCTGTAATCCCAGCACTTTGGGAGGCCGAGGTGGGTGGATCACGAGGTCAAGAGATCGAGACCATCCTGGTCAACATGATGAACCCTCGTCTCTACTAAAAATACGAAAAATTAGCTGGGCATGGTGGCACATGCCTGTAATCCCAGCTACTCAGGAGGCTGAGGCAGGAGAATTGCCTGAACCCAGGAGGCGGAGGTTGCGGTGAGCCAAAATTGTGCCATTGCACTCCAGCCTGGGTAACAAGAGCAAAACTCCGTCTCAAAAAAAAAAAAAAAAAAAAAAAAAGAATAATAATAATAATAATAGTAACAAAGTAAAAAGTACAGGAAATGGCATCCAATATACATTAGAAAATCAAACCATGAGGCTGGGTGCGGTGGCTCAAGCCTGTAATCTCAGCACTTTGGGAGGCCAAGGCGGGTGGATCATGAGGCCAAGAGATCGAGACCATCCTGGTCAACATGGTGAAACCCCGTCTCTACTAAAAATACAAGAAAATCAGCTGGGCATGGTGGTGCGTGCCTGTAATCCCAGCTACTCAGGAGGCTGAGGCAGGAGAATTGCCTGAACCCAGGAGGCGGAGGTTGCGGTGAGCCGAGATCGCGCCATTGCACTTCAGCCTGGGTAACAAGAGTGAAACTCCGTCTCAAAAAAAAAAAAAAATATATATATATATATATATATATAAATTAGCTGGGTGTTGGTAGCTCATGCCTATAGCTACTTGGGAGACAGGCTGGGGAATCCTTTCTGGAATCAACCTCTGCCCAGGAAGCAGAGATTGCAGTGAGTCTAGATCGTGCCACTTCATTCCATCCTGGGTGACAGAGTGAAGTCCTGTCTCAAAACAATTAAAAAATTAAAAAATAAAAAAAATAAAAAAAATAAAAAAGAAAAGAAAATCAAACCACGAAATATCATCTGACACTCATTAAAAGGGCTAATCTGAAAGACCAAATGTTGTTGAGGCTGTAAAACAACTGGAACTCCAATATGTTGCTGATGGGAGTGTAAAATGGTACTACCACATTGGAAAACTCTGGTAGTTTCTTATAGAATTAAACACATATCTACCATATGACTCAGCAATTCTAACTCCTAGGTATTCACCTAAGTGAAATGAAAATGTATTTCTTTATCTATTTTTATTTTTATAAATGAATGTATTTGTTTTTAAAAATTAACTTTCTACACTACAAAAACATAGAAAGTGTATTTCTACCAAAATCTTGTACAATAATGTGCATAACAACCTTATTCATAACAGCCAAAACCTAAAAACAATGCAAATTCCAACAAAAGGAGAAAGGGTAAACAAATTATGACTTAGTCACACAATGTCACACTACCTAGGTGATAAAAAAGGATCAGCTACTGAGGCACATAACATGAACATACCTTAAAGCTGTTATGTTGAGTAAATTAAGGCAAGAAGTAAAATAGGACTTCCTGTACAATACTGCTTAATCAAGTCTAAGAACAACAAAATTCATTTATATTTGTAAAAATCAGAAGGTCACGATGGGGTCACAGGGAGTGGGAATTGACTGAAAAAAAGCACATAGGAATTTTTCGGGAAGAGGAAAATGTGCTATATCCTGACTAGGTAATAGTCATATGGATGCATACACTTGTCAAAACTCACTGAACTTAAGATATAGACAACTTATTGTATGTGAACTATACCTCAAAAAATGAGAAAGAAAGAGAAAAAATTCTGACATGTAAGAAGTTTTCAATATATATTAATATCCTTTTCTACTACTGTTCCAGAAATGCAGTGTAGGTAAAAATTGGGGGGCCAAACCTAATTTTACTTCTCAAAAATTGATTCAAAAATACGGGACAACCACCTGCAAATGCCTAATTTTAAAATGGATCATTTTAGGCCGGGCGCGGTGGCTCAAGCCTGTAATCCCAGCACTTTGGGAGGCCAAGGCGGGTGGATCATGAGGTCAAGAAATCGAGACCATCCTGGTCAACATGGTGAAACCCCGTCTCTACTAAAAATACAAAAAATTAGCTGGGCATGGTGGCTCGTGCCTGAAATCCCAGCTACTCAGGAGGCTGAGGCAGGAGAATTGCCTGAACCCAGGAGGCGGAGGTTGTGATGAGCCGAGATCGCACCACTGCGCTCCAGCCTGGGTAACAAGAGCAAAACTCTGTCTCAAAAAAAAAAAAAAAAAAAAAAAAAAAAAGGATCATTTAATATACATGACTTAGCTGGTAACAGCTAGTTCATGGTCATATCAAATGTGTCAAAATTGGAGTTGGCCTTTTATTTCTTTATTATACAATAGTACAATGGAATAGAAGGAGCATTAAACTGGCAGCCGGGCGCGGTGGCTCAAGCCTGTAATCCCAGCACTTTGGGAGGCTGAGGCGGGTGGATCGCGAGGTCGGGAGATCGAGACCATCCTGGTCAACACGGTGAAACCCCGTCTCTACTAAAAAATACAAAAAATTAGCTGGGCGTGGTGGCGCATGCCTGTAATCCCAGCTACTCAGGAGGCTGAGGCAGGAGAATTGCCTGAACCCAGGAGGCGGAGGTTGCGGTGAGCCGATATCACGCCATTGCACTCCAGCCTGGGTAACAAGAGCGAAACTCCGTCTCAAAAAAAAAAAAAAAAAAAAAAACGCCGGGCGCGGTGGCTCAAGCCTGTAATCCCAGCACTTTGGGAGGCCGAGGCGGGTGGATCACAAGGTCAAGAGATCGAGACCATCTTGGTCAACATGGTGAAACCCCGTCTCTACTAAAAATACAAAAAAAATTAGCTGGGCATGGTGGTGCGTGCCTGTAATCCCAGCTACTTAGGAGGCTGAGGCAGGAGAATTGCCTGAACCCAGGAGGCGGAGGTTGCGGTGAGCCGAGATCGCGCCATTGCACTCCAGCCTGGGTAACAAGAGCGAAACTCCGTCTCAAAAAAAAAAGAAGGAGCATTAAACTGGCAACTGGCTTTCTATTGCTGATTCCAGTATTTAACAGCTTTGTGATTTTTGATGCATCAATACACTTCCAAGAGTTTCAAGTTCCTTTATTTGTAAAAAGGGAGATAGGCCGGGTGTGGTGGCTCACATCTGTAATTCCAGCATGTTGGGAGGCCAAGGCGGGCAGATCATGAAGTCAAGAGATTGAGACCACCCTGGCCAACATGGTAAAACTCCGTCTCTACTAAAAATACAAAAATTAGCTAGACGTGGTGGCACGCACCTGTAGTCCCAGCTACTTGGGAGGCTGAGACAGGAGAATCACTTGAACCGGGAGGCAGAGGTTGCAGTAAGCTGAGATTACACTACTGCACTCCAGCCTGGTGACAGAGCAAGACTCCATCTCAAGAAAAAAAAAAAAAAAAGGGAGATAATGATAACTTTCTTATAGACTACTGTGAGGATCAAACAAAAACATATACGTGTGTGTGTGTGTGTGTGTGTGTGAATTAAAGCATCCTGGACACTGTAATGGGAAAGTATTCTCTAACACAGTAGTAGAAACAAACAGATAAATTAACTAAATAACCTGTTAAATAGTCTTTCTTTTATTAACTATTGAATGTATGAATACATACTGTCCATTTCACCTCCGGGCGAGCAAGTGGAATAAATCGTCCATCAAACATGTGAGAAAATGGCCCATGACCTTAAAAACAAAAGCAGCCTTAGAATAAGAAGAACACCTGTAAATCGACAAAAGCTGAATTTTTTTTTTTTTTTTTTTTTTTTTGAGACAGTTTCACTCTTGTTGCCCAGGCTGGAGTGCAATGGTGTGATCTTAGGTTACCACAACCTCTGCTTCCCAGGTTCAAGCAATTCTCCTGCCTCAGCCTCCCACGTAGCTGGGATTACAGGCCTGTACCACAATACCCGGTTAATTTTCTATTTTAAGTAGAGATAGGGTTTCACCATGTTGGTCAGGCTGGTCTTGAACTCCTGACCTCAAGGGATCCGCCCGCCTTGGCCTCCCAAAGTGCTGGGATTACAGGCATGAGCCACTGCGCCCAGCCAAAAACTAAATTATTTAATCTTTTTAGTTTAACTTGAATAGCAACAGAAATTAATAATCTAAAAATACAATCACAAAAAGGGACAAATCCTTTCTTCCTATTTCTAAAACAAGAGAACAGGAAGCAGAAACGTGGAAAAGTAAGCTCTCCATCAAGTGGTCTCCAGTCACCAGGGCTTACATAAGCTGATAAAAGGGCAGTTTTGTTTGTTTTTTTGAAGAGACAGAGTCTTACTATATTGTTCAGGCTGGAGTGCAGTGGCTACTCACAAGCATGATCATTATGCACTATATCCTTAAACTCCTGACCTCAAGTCATCCTGCCTCAGCCACCTGAATAGCTAGGACTATAGGCATGCCCCACCATGCAGGGCTTGGTAAATGGATAATTTTGTGTAACTAAAAAGAATGTTAATGCTAAAAACTTATTTGAAATCTTCAAATTGAAAATATTTGGATTAAAATAACAGTTTTAAGAAAATACACTGGGGCCAGGTGTGGTGGCTCATGCCTGTAATCCCAGCACTTTGGGAGGCCAAGGTGGGTGGATCACTTGAAGTCAGGAGTTCGAAACCAGCCTGGCCAACATGATAAAAACTCTGTCTCTACTAAAAAAACAAAAATCAGGGCATGATGGTGGCTGCCTGTAATCCTAGCTACTCAGGAGGCTGAGGCACGAGAATCTTCTGAACCCAGCAGGCAGAGGTTGCAGTGAGCTGAGAATGAGCCACTGCACTCCAGCCTGGGCAACAGAGCGAGGCAAGACTGTCTCAAAAAAGAAAAAAAAAAACTTGTAGCAAAGATGTTTAACATGAGAAATTCACTGAAAGATGCCAAGAAAATAAAATAGCAATGTTTTCTACTAATGAATCGTTCTAGGAAGAAGCAACGGTACATTTATACTAATGTCAATTGATGAATTAAAATACAATTTCCATATTCTCTTGGTTGATCTGCTTTTTTAATGTGAAAGAGAGGTAACATATGTTATGATTTTACATAACAACTTTGGCTTTTTGTTATGTATATAACATATGTTATGATTTTACATAACAACTTTGGCTTTTGGTACAGCTTACCAAGATCATGACAAAGCCCAGCAATCTGAACACAGAGCATATCTCGTTCACTTATCTGTAGCTCTGGTTGTTTTTCACACAGTGCTCGAACTAGACATCCTGCCAAATACCCAACCCTGCAGAGCAAAAACACAAAAAGTCACTCTTCCGTTTGAAAGAGGAGTGTTATTTCTGGTCCTCAAGAACTTTATTATGTTTCCTCAAACATTCTAACATATATAGGGCAACTTTACAGAACAGTCTATTTCAGAACTAGGCAGGAACACACACAAACAGAATCCCAAAAGCAGGACCTCTGGCTCAATATCACCAATCATTAGAGGAATGCAAATTGAAACCACAGTGAGATACCACTTCACACCCCTTAGGATAGGTACTATTAAAAAAAGAAAACTAGAAAATAGCAAAAATATCAAGTGTTGGCCATGACATGGAAAAACTGGAACCCTGTGCACTGTTAGGGGAAATGTATTACGGTATAGCTGCCATGGGAAACAGTATGGGTACTCCACAAAAATAAAAAAAGGAATTACCACAGTGATTTAGCAATTTCATTTCTGGGTATATACCCATAATAACTGAAAGTAGGGTCTTGAAAAGATTGGCTGGGCTCAGTAGTTTACACCTGTAATCTCAGCACTTGGAGAGGCCTAGGCAGGCGGATCACTTGAGGTCAGGAGTTTTGAGATCAGCCTGGCCAACACACTGAAACCCCATCTCTACTAAAAAATACAAAAATTAGCTGGGCGTGCTGGCGGGCACCTGTAATCCCAGCTACTTGGGAGGCTGAGGCAGAAGAATTGCTTGAACCCAGGAGGCAGAGGTTGCAGTGAGCTGAGATTGTGCCACTGCAATCCAGCCTGGGCAACAGAGGAAGACTCTGTCTCAAAAAAAAAAAAAAAAAGAAGAAAAGAAAAGGTATTCACAGAGACATGTTCAAAGCAGCACTACTCAAAACAGTCAAGAGCTGAAAGCAGCAGATATTCATCCACAAATGAATGTTTAAACAAAATGCAGTAAATACATACGATAAAATATTATTCAGCCTTAAAAGGTAAGAAAATACTGACACATGCTGCAACATAGATGAACCTTGAGGAAATTATGCTAAGTGAAATAAGCCAGTGACAAAAAGACAAATATTGTATGATTTCACTAAGATGAGATACCTAGAGTAGTCAAATTCATAAACAGAAAGTAGAATGGTAGTTACTAGGGAGTTGCAGGGAGGGGGATGTGAAGAGTGAAGAGTTGTTGTTTAATGCATATATACAGTTTAGGGTTTCATTTATTTATTTATTTTTTTGAGATGGAGTCTTGCTGTGTTGCCCAGGCTGGAGTCAAGTGGCCTAATCTCAGCTTACTGCAACCTCGGGAGTAGATGAAATTATAGGCGCGCGACACCATGCCCGGCTGCTTTTTAATTTTTAGTAGAGGCAGGGTTTCACCGTGTTGCCCAGGCTGACCTTGAACTCCTGACCTTAGGTTATCCACTGGCCTCAGCCTCTCAAAGTGCTGGAATTACAGGTGTGAGCCACCCATACCTGGCAAATTTCAGTTTTGTAAGATGAAGAGTTTTGGCAATCGATTTGTTGCACAATGTGAATGCATTTAACGTTATTAAACTGTACACTTAAAAACAGTTAAGACCGCATATTTTCTATTCTGTGTATTTTTTTTTTAAGCCAGAGTCTTACTCTGTCACCCAGGCTGGGGTGCAATGGTGTGGTCTCAGCTCACTGCAACCTCTACCTCCCAGGTTCAAACAACTCTCCTGCCTGTCTCCCAAGTAGCTGGGACTACAGGCACATGTCACCACACCCAGCTAATTTTTGTATTTTTAGTAGAGACAGGGTTTCACTATGTTGGCCAGGCTGGTCCCAAACTCCTGACCTCATGATCTGCCGGTCTCAGCCTCCCAAAGTGTTAGGATTATAGGCATGAGCCGCTGTGCCCAGGCTTATTCTGTGTATTTTACCACAATGTTTTTTAAAAGTAGGAATATCTGGCTTCATAATGTTTACAACATAGATTGGAGATGAAGTGCTTAAATGCAATTTCAGCACTTCCATCTGAGTTATTCCTAAATAAATACAATATCATTCTTTTCCCCTGAACTCTGACAATTGCTATCTTTTTGTGGTTTGGTAGGACTTAGTAAGTGTTGGATAAATATTTGTTGAGGAATGAATATTTGAATATAGACACGTGTTTTAGCTAACTAAAAATGCTTCCACACACAAAAAAACAAAGTATTATACTGTGAGTACTTCATGAAAATCTGGAAGACTGTCTGTTCTTCCCTGTCCACTTCCTCCGGGCTCTATACTGAATAGTGGAAAAGCAGACCCAAGTTTCAGCTTATAGAGGCACCACCTTTTCTAAAATTATGAATGCTTTTTTAACTTACGCATTTCCTGATAGGTAACAGAATGATCTGATTTGAAAAAGCAATTATGTACCAGGGTACACAGAGAATACAGAAAATTAAATAATCAAATATATATAATTAGTTGTATCAGTAACCAACTCTTATTGTTTTTTTGTTTGTTTGTTTGTTTGTTTTGAGACGGAGTCTCACTCTGTTGCCCAGGTTGGAGTGCAATGGTGCTATCACAGTTCACTGCAACCTCCGCCTCCCTGGTTCAAGCCATTCTCTTGCCTCAGCCTCCCGAGTAGCTGGGATTGCAGGCACCCACCACTATGCCTGGCTAATTTTTGTATTTTTAGTAGAGACGGGTAGTTTACCATGTTGGTTAGGCTGGTCTTGAACTCATGACCTCAAGTGATCCACCTGCCTGTCCTCCCAAAGTGCTGGGATTGGCCAGGCGTGGTGGCTTACACCTATAATCTCAGCACTTTGGGAGGCCGAGGTGGGTGGATCCTGAGGTCAAGAGATCGAGATCATCCTGGCCAACATGGTGAAACCCTGTCTCTACTAAAATTACAAAAATTAGCCAGGTGTGGTGGTGGGTGCCTATAATCCCAGCTACTCTGGAGGCAGAGGCAGGAGAATCCCATGAACCTGGGAGGTGGAGGTTGAAGTGAGTCAAGATTGTGCCACTGCACTCAAGCCTGAGTGACAGAGTGAGACTCTGTCTCAAAAAAAAAAAAAAAGTGTTGAGATTATAGGCATGAGCCACTGCACCAAGCCCTTATTAGCTTTTAATTAACATTTAAACACAAATCCAACTGACTTGTCTATAGATACTTTCATTATTTTTCTAGGAAAGATCTGAGATGCTTGATAAGAATACGTAAAATAATTAAAATGCAACAAGGTAAATAAAAAGCCCCAATTTTCTCACCAATGAAATCAGGACATTACCATCATTTTGTAAAACTATTTATTCTTTAAAAGATTAACACAAGGCTGGGCGCATTGGCTCATCCCTGTAATTACAGTACCTTAGGAGGCCAAGGCAGGTGGATCACCTGAGGTCAGGAGTTTGAGACAGCCTGACCAACATGGTGAAACCCTGTCTCTACTGAAAATACAGAAACCAACCGGGTGTGGTGGTAGGTGCCTATAACCCCAGCTACTCGGGAGGCTGAGGCAGGAGAATCGCTTGAACCTGATAGGAGAAGGCTGTAGTGAGCCAAGGTAGCACCATGGCACTCCAGCCTGTGTGACAAAGCGAGACTTCATCTCAAAAAAAAAAAAAAAAGTAAGACAACTATTTCCATTTCTTTCTTTCTTTCTTTCTTTTTTTGAGATAGAATTTTGCTCTTGTTGCCCAGGCTGGAGTGCAATGGCGCGATCTCAGCTCACTACAACCTCTACTTCCTGGGTTCAAGTGATCCTCCTGTCTCAGCTTCTCAAGTAGCTGGGATTACAGGCATGCACCACCATGCCTGGCTGATTTTGTATTTTTAGTAGAGACGGGGTTTCACCATACTGGCCAGGCTGGTCTTGAACTCCTGACCTCAGGTGATCCTCTCGCCTTGGCCTCCCAAAGTGCTGTGATTATAGGCGTGAGCCACCATGCCTGGCCTGAGACAACCGTCTCATAAGACTTAAAAACTGCAAGTTCCCCACCCCATTCCCTTCTTACCCTAGACTATGCTCAAATCGATTGTGTGAAGCTCCTGGAAAAACATAATAACCGCCTCCCAGCTGTTTGATATATCGAAGACGTTGAAATTGAGGCGTATCAATGATTCGGATGAGGAGAGGGTGGAGCTCAATGTGGCCATGGATAGGATCATTAATTACCTAGAAAAGTATGTTTAATTAACATGAGTAACAACGTAAATCCACATGAAGTTTTTGTGCAGCCATTCCTAACTATAGTGCCAAGTCAAAGCTATTTAATTTTTCAAGTAAAAATACTAAGGGATTCTACACAAGTGGAGTCAAAAAAAAAAAAAAAAAGATAAAAAAATACTAAGGGAAATGATGAGATATAAACATCATTACCTTATTAACATATCACTACCAGACAGATCAAGTATATTGGATCTGAGTATGTTTTACTTCTTCTTAATGGATTCTAATAACAGAAAAATAAGGATTTCAATCTTTTTATTACGTATATGACTTAATTAGTCTTAATAAGTTTGTCTTACATTCAACTTAAACATGCATATTCATTTCTATTTAAACACATTCATTCACATCATGTAAGCCATATCACTATAGGCAGTATATCTAAACTTTTTTTTTTGAGACGGAATCTCACTCTGTCCCGCCCAGGCTGGAGTGCAGTGACACAATCTTGGCTCACTGCAACCTCAGCCTCCCAGGTTCAAGCTATTCTTCTGCCTCAGTCTCCTGAGTAGCTGGGAATACAGGCGTGTGCCACATGCCCAGCTAATCTTTGTATTTTCAGTAGAGACAGGGTTTTACCATGTTGGCCAGGCTGGTCTCAAACTCCTGATCTTAAGTGATCTACCCACTTCGGCCTCCCAAAATGCTGGGATTACAAGGCATAAGCCAACTTGCCCAGCCTAATTTTTTTTTTTTTTCTAAATGTATCTACACAGTACTCATCATTAAAATAGGAAGGAAAGAAGGAAGGGAGGCAAAGAAAGAAAGATGGAAATTCCTCTACCATATAGATAAGAAATCACACAGGTACAAGTGCAGTGGCTCACATCTGTAATCCCAACACCGAGGAGGCCAAGAGTTTGAGACCAGCCTAGGAAACATAGTGAGACCTCCGTATCTTAAAAAAAAAAAAAAAAAAAAAAAAAAAAAAAAAAAAAAAAAGATGCAGTGGTGCACATCTGTAATCCCAGGTCCTCCAGAGACTGAGATAGGAAGATTCTTTAAGCCCCAGGGGATCGAGGCTGCAGTAAGCTATTATTGTGCACAACACTTCAGCACAGGGTAACAGAGAGAAACTCTGTCTCCAAAAGAGAAGAAAAAAAAGAAAGAAAATAATTTTTTTTATCACTGAACAACGTGTTTGTGTGTGTGAGTATTGTTTTTGTTTCGTTTTTGTTAGAGACAGGGTCTTGCTTTCTCACCAGGTTGCAGTGCTTTGGCTATTCACAGGCACGATCATAGCTTACTGTAGCCTCAAACTCCGAGGCTCAAGGGATCCTCTTGCCTCACCCTCCTACATAGCTGGGACTACAGGCATGTACCACCATCCCTAGCTAATTTATTTTTTTTCTTTGGGGAGACAAGGTCTTGCTATATTGCCCAGGTTGGTCTCCCAACTTCTGGCCTCAAGCAATCACTGTACCTTTGGCTTCCCAAAGGGCTTTTTGTTTGTTTTAATCATTTTTACCATATTTATAATCTGCCTTTTCTAAATTTAGATATGAGATACTTACCACTGTGTTACAATTGCCTACAGCAGAAGCCTATTGATCCTAGACTCTAATCCTAGGTAAATATTTTGTTTTGTAACACACAAATACTTACCTAGGATTAGATTAGAGTCTAGGATCAGTAGGCTCCTGCTGTAGGCAACTGTAACACAGTGGTAAGTATTTGTATATCTAAACTTAGAAAACGCAGAGTATAACTATGGTAAAATGATTTTTTTTTTTTTTTTTTTTTTTGAGACGGAGTTTCGCTCTTGTTACCCAGGCTGGAGTGCAATGGCGCGGTCTCGGCTCACTGCAACCTCCGCCTCCTGGGCTCAGGCAATTCTCCTGCCTCAGCCTCCTAAGTAGCTGGGATTACAGGCACACGCCACCACGCCCAGCTAGTTTTTTGTATTTTTAGTAGAGACGGGGTTTCACCATGTTGACCAGGATGGTCTCGATCTCTCGACCTCGTGATCCACCCACCTCGGCCTCCCAAAGTGCTGGGATTACAGGCTTGAGCCACCGCGCCCGGCCCAAAATGATTTTTTTTAAAGCCCTTTGGGAGGCTAAAGGTGCAATGATTGCTTGAGGCCAGCAGTTGAGACCAGCCTGGAGTGTAGGAGCAATACACTCTATTATATAGCCTAGATATGTATTTTTTTTAAGTTTTATTTTTTTTAGCCTAGATATGTAAGAGGCTATACCATCTAGGTTTGTGTAAACACACTCTGTGTTCTCATAATGATGAAACTGCTTAATGACACATTTCTCAGAATGTATCCTCATCATTAAACAGCAGATGACTGTAGCTCAATTCAACTTGGGTATTGACAGTGTGAGTCAAGTAATGACTAGAATTTACAACTCTGTTAAACAATAGGAATGTATGTTAACATATAACAGAGAGACATATGGTTGATATTTGGTGATTATTAATTTTCATCCTGCTATAAAACCACTTTATTACATGAATAAAATATATCAAGTTTAGTCATTTGGAATCATATACCACAAATGAGGTCAAAGTATCTCAGGAATAGAAGAAACCATGAATGCCATCATTTAACTCTGTAAATATTCTTTTCAAAAAAGAAAAAATTCTGCAACCTTTAAATATTTGAAAATCAAATACTGGTGGTTGGGTGCAGTGGCTCACTCCTGTTAATAGCAGCACTTTGGGACAATGGGGTAGGCAGATCACTTGAGGTCATGAGTTTGGAGTTTGACACCAGCATGGCCTAACTGGTGAAACCCCATCTCTACTAAAAATACAAAAATTAGCTGGGTGTGGTGGCACATGCCTGTAGTTCCAGCTACTTGGAAGCCTGAGGCAGGAGAATCATTTGGACCTGGAAGGTGAAGACTGCAGTGAGCTGAGACTGTGCCACTGCACTCCTGCCTGGGTAACACAGCCAGACTTTGTCTGAAAAAAAGAAAGGAACCAAAAAACAAAGATTCATTGATACATTTTTTTCTTTCTTTTTTTTTCCATTGACACATTTGGAAAATTAGTCCTTGTTATGTCAAACACTGCACTTCCTCTTCATCATTACACAATCTCAGCTTCAGAGGCCACCTGTACTAAATTTAGCATGAAGTACACTATGTCAAGAAAAAAACATGGTGACCTTGGATTTGGCAATGGTTTCCTAAATACAATACTAAAAGTACAAGACACAAAGGAACAAAAACTATATATATATTGGAATACATAAAAATTTAAAACTTTTGTAACCCAAAGAAGACCACCAAGAAAGTAAAAAGACAACCCACAGATTAGGAAAAAATATTTGTGTATCATAGCTCCCACAAGGATTGACATCCATAATATATAAAGAGCTCTTACAACTCAAATCAAATTGTGTGTGATTGAACAAAACTGTGAACTTCCTAAAAAACACTGTCTTACATACTAAAAATGAGTGAATCATAATACTTGTGAATTATATCTCAATAAAGGTATTTATGTTTTAAGTATCAAATTAGGGTAGAAATCCTTGAGGGCTGCAATTGAGTAATAAACTAGGTCAATTCTTCGTTGAACTGCTCTGCTGAAGTTAAATTTGTTTAAAGTATTGATTTCATTACTAGGCAGTGATTGAGTAGTTTGAAAATCTATTTCCAATAACGTCATTTATAATTTATAAATGACGTAAACAATTTTTTTTTTTTTTTTTGGAGACAGGGTCTCACCCTGTTGCCCAGGCTAGAGTGCAGTGGTATAATCACAGTTCAATGAAGGCTCAAACTCCACGGGCTCAGGTGATTTTACTAAATCAGCCTCCCAAGTAGCTGGGACTACAGGTGTGCACCATCACTAGCTAATTTTTCTATTGTTTGCAGATGGAGTTTCGTTGTGTTGCTCAAGCTGGTCTTGAATTTAACAGCTAAAGTGATCCACTCACCTCAGCCTCCCCAATTGCTGGGAATGCAGGTGTGAGCCATCACGCCTAGCCAACAATGTTGTTTTTAAGGAAAAACAGAAAAAAAAAGTGGGCAACTGAAACCACTGACTACCTTAATATTATTTCAAAAATATCTTACTGGTGGGGCATGGTGGCTCACATCTGCAATCCCAGCACTTTGGGAGGCCAAGGCAGGCGTATCACAAGGTCAGGAGTTCATCATCAGCCTGGCCAACATAGTGAAAACCCATCTCTACTAAAAATAAAAAAATCAGCTGGGTGTGGTGGTGCACACCTGTAATCCTAATCCCACCTTCTCAGAAGGCGTAAGCAGAATTGCTTGAACCAGAAAGGAGGAGGTTGCAGTGAGCCAAGATCTTACCACTGCACTCCAGCCTGGGAACAAAGCCAGACTCTATCACAAAAAAGTAATTAAAAAAAGAATCTTGGCCGGGCACAGTGGCTCATGCCTGTAATCCCAGCACTTTGGGAGGCCAAGGTGGGTGGATTACGAGGTCAGGAGTTCAAGCCCAGCCTGGCCAAGATGGTGAAATTCCATCTCTATTGAAAATATTAAAAATTAGCCTGGCAAGGTGGCAGGCGCCTGTAATCCCAGCTATTTGGGAGGCTGAGGCAGGAGAATTGCTTGAACCTGGGCAGCAGAAGTTGCAGTGAGCCAAGATCGCACCACTGCACTCCAGCCTGAGCAACAGAGCAAGACTTCAACTCAAAAAAAAAATCTTATTGCTGCTAATGGTAATTGTGAAAATGTGATCACAGAGATTTCCTGAGATTATCTGACCTAATGAAGAAATCTCACCCTTCCTATGCTCTACCTGAAGAGGACACCCTATGCTGCTGCTACTGAGGAAGGGCAAAACATAAGACAGCAACTTTCTTCCAACAGCAGGACAAGGTATTTAGACATCACTTTTGATGTGTCCATTCTATTTACTTCTCCGTGATGAGAATTAAGTTTTTGGTTTTTTTTTTTAGACGGAGTTTCACTCTTGTTGTCCAGGCTAGGGTGAAGTGGCTCAATCTCAGCTCACCTCAACCTTTGCCTCCCCGGTTCAAGCAATTCTCCTGCCTCAGCCTCCCAAGTAACTGAGATTACAGGTGCCGGTCACCACACCCCGCTAATTTTTGTATTTTTGGTAGAAATGAGGTTTCACCATGTTGGCCGAGCTAGTCTCGAACTCCTGACTCAGTTTATCTGACCGCCTTGGCCTCCCAAAGTGTTAGGATTACAGGTGTGAGCCACCGCACCCAGTCTGAGAATGAAGTATTTTAATATTAGATTCCTCTGGCCAGGCACAATGGCTCACACCTGTAATCCCAGCACTTTGGGAGGCCAAGGCGAGCAGATCATGAGGTCAAGAGATTGAGACCATCCTGGCCGACATAGTGAAACTTCATCTCTACTAAAAATACAAAAATTACTCACACCTGTAATCCCAGCACTTGGGAAGCCAAGGCAGGTGGATCACGAGGTCAAAAGACTGAGACCATCCTGACCAACATGGTGAAACCCTGTCTCTACTAAAACATACAAAAATTAGCCAAGCGTGGTGGTGTTCGCTTGTAGTCCCAGCTACTCCAGAGGCTGAGGTGGAAGAATCACTTGAACCGGGAGGTGGAGGTTGCAGTGAGCCAAGATTGCGCCACTGTGCTCCAGCCTAATGTCAGAGCGAGACACCGGCTCCAAAAAAAAAAAAAAAAAAAAAATTAGCTGGGCATGGTGGCTCACACCTGTAGTCCCAGCACTTTGGGAGGCCGAGGTGGGCAGATCATGAGGTCAGGAATTTTCGATCAGCCTGGCCAACAGGATGAAACCCCATCTCCATAAAAATACACACACACACACACACACACACACACACACACACACAAATTAGCCAGGTGTGGTGGCAGGCGCCTGTAATCCCTGCTACTTGGGAGGCTGAGGCAGGAGAATCACTTGAACCTGGGAGGTGGAGTTGTGGTGAGCTGAGACTGTGCCACTGCACTCCAGCCCGGCAACAAAGCAATACTCCATCTCAAAAAAAAAAAAAAAAAAAAGAAAAGAAAAGAAAAAGAAAGAAAATAAGCCTGTAGGCCGGGCATGGTGGCTCATGCCTGTAATCCCAGCACTTTGGGAGGCCAAGGCGGATGGATCATGTGAGGTCAGGGGTTCAAGACCAGCCTGACCAATATGGCAAAACTCTCTCTCTACTACAAAAATTAGTCAGGCATGGTGGCATGTACCTGTAGTCCCAGCTACTCAGGAGACTGAGAAAAAAGAATCACTTGAACCTGGGAGGCAGAGGTTGTAGTTAGCCAAGATTGCACCATTGCACTCCAGCCTTGGTGACAGAAAGAAACTCCATCTCAAAAAAAGGAAAAAAAAAAAAAAAAAAAAAAAAAAGAAAGTCTGTAACTTGCAAAAGCAAAATTAAAATATGTATTCTTATAGAGAGGGATCTGAAATAACTCAAATACTATATATCACATGTATTTAAAAAAAACAGTGAAAAATGCAAGTGATTGGGCAAAAAGCACAAGAGAAGATATTCTACATCTTCTTTCAGGTCTGAAACTAAGTTTTCTTAACCTAGGAATGTCAAAAGAGTAAGTAAGGTGTATTTCCTGTCACTAACAAAACAAGAAACATTTCATCTAGTATAGTATTAGAATCACTCTGAAGAGCCTGTGAAAAATACACATTCTGGCCAGATGCAGTGGCTCACACCTGTAGTCCCAGCACTTTGGGAGGCCGAGGCAGGCAAATCACTTGAGGTCAGGAGTTTGACACCAGCCTGGCCAACATGGTGAAACCCCAACTCTACTAAAAATACAAAAACATTAGCCAGATATGGTAGTGTATGCCTGTAATCCCAGCTACAAAAACATTAGCCAGGCATGGTGGCGTAGGCCTGTAATCCCCAGCTACTTAGGAGGCCAATGCAGGAGAATCACTTGAACCTGAGAGGTAGAGGTTGCAGTGAGACAAGATGGCACCACTGAACTCCAGTCTGGGTAACAGAGCTAGATTACATCTCAAAAAGGCGAGGCTCTGTCTCAAAAAATAAAATTAAAAAGTCTAAAAAATATGTAAAACAATTCTATACATTGTTTTTGGATATACATAAATAAGTACTAAGAGTAAAAACCATTCATGATAATGATAAACACCAAATTCAGGATGATGCTTACTTCTAGGGAAGAAAGGCTAGAAACAGAAATAAATACAAACAGGGCCAGGCAAGGAGGCTCACATCTGTAATCCTAGCACTTTGGGAGACCAAAGCAGGCCAGGAGTTTGAGACCAGCCTGGGCAATATACGAAGACCCTGTCTCTATAAAAAATACAAAAATTGGCCAGGTATGGTGGTGTGCACCCATAATAGTCCAAGCTACTGGGGTGGCTCAGATGGGAGGATCACTTGAGCCAGGGAGACGGAGGTTGCAGTGAGCTGAGATGTACCACTGTACTCCAGCCTGGCTGACAGAGCATGACCCCATTTCATTAAAAAAAAAAAAAAGGTACAAAGGGGGTCTTCAATAGTTTCTAATACTTTGCTCTAAAAATAACAGACTTAAAGCAAATTAGGCAAAATATTAAGATTTGACAAGTCGGGTAGTGGTCTAATTATGCTTTCCTGTATGCTTAACATATTTTAGTTCTTCTGATTTAAATACTCATTTAGAAAGTGCAGAAAGTTTAGAAAAGATCCACTACTCACAATTCCATCACCGAGAAGCAGATTTCCTCCTATTTTCTTCAAAATGAATTTTACATAATTGAATTATATCATTTTATACTCCAAAAACATAACAAACTCAGATCCTCTTACCTTCATTGTATCAATGTGGATTTGACTCATTCGCTGGATATAACTAAGCAGCCTCTTCCTCTCCCACAAGGAACTAAAATTACAATAGGATAAGCAAGTCTATCATTATTTGCTTAATGATAATCCCTGCAGTATATAGTAGTACATAACCAACTTTAGATTACTTACACTAACAGAGAAGTTAGATTGGAAGGAACAATCAATAATTCAAACATACTCCTCCTCAAAAGTGTCCCCTTCCTTTGCTCCTAAGATAGGGCATTCTCCTGCTGAATCAATGTAGGCCTCCCCCTGGCTTCTGTCCCTGATTCTCTTCTCTCTTGGTAAACTTAAGACTTGAAAAACTCCACATCTCTTTCACGTCTACTCAATGCTCAAGCTGTTCTTCATTTTATTTTTATTTTATTTTATTTATTTTTTTTTTTTGAGGCGGAGTTTCGCTCTTGTTACCCAGGCTGGAGTGCAATGGCGCGATCTCGGCTCACCGCAACCTCCGCCTCCTGGGTTCAGGCAATTCTCCTGCCTCAGCCTCCTGAGTAGCTGGGATTACAGGCACGCGCCACCATGCCCAGCTAATTTTTTGTATTTTTAGTAGAGACGGGGTTTCACCATGTTGACCAGGATGGTCTCGATCTCTCAACCTCGTGATCCACCCGCCTCGGCCTCCCAAAGTGCTGGGATTACAGGCTTGAGCCACCGCGCCCGGCTTGCTGTTCTTCATTTTAACCAAACTGAAGTTAACGTCGACCCTCATAATCCCGGATTGATTTATGAGCACCAGGTATGACTCAAGCATGAATGAAATACATATGAAGCCTTTAACTTTATTTATATTCATTTTCCATTGTTAGTAATCCCTCATAATGTTCCAGTTTCAAGAAAATACATAATGGGAATTAAATATGAACAGCTCAAAGTCTTGTGATTCATTATTCTACTTCATTTACAATTACTAGCTGGGCCCAGCATATCATCCTTCCCCCGACTGGGTGTCAACACAGAGTGCAGGCAAAGGGTTTTACTGATCTACTAGCTAACCAGATTTAAAAAAAGTATCTTCTATAAATCATGCATAGACTTGGAGTCAGAGACACCGCACTGGCCTCTTTGGTGCACCCTGAGACCCGTGGTAATAAGAACACCTAAGGATGATTTCTTGGGATGCACAGAAGCATTATTACAGCTGATAAACTGAAGCACCATATTTTGTGTTTTCCTATTCCCCTATCATCCTCATCAGTTTGACATAACAAGTACAGCACAAACCAGGTTTTCAGAAGTACTTATAGGTGGACTCAGGTAAAGGGGAGTCACATAGTTGAGCATAACCAGAGTAATAGCTTAAAATATCAAACCTAAACTAACCCCATGACTACCTAGTATTTTCCTAAACTAACATTCAGTATTCATCACTTAAAACCAAGAAATTGGGCCGGGTACAGTGGCTCATGCCTGTAATCCCAGCACTTTGGGAGGCCTAGGCAGGCGGATCACAAGGTCAGGAGTTCAACACCAGCCTGGCCAACAGGGTGAAAGCCCATCTCTACCAAAAAAAAAAAACAAAAATTAGCCAGGCGTGGTGGCAGGCACCTGTAGTTCCAGCTACTGGGGAGGCTGAGGCAGGAGAATCTCTTGAACCCGGGAGGCAGAGGTTGCAATGAGCAGGGATTGTACCGCTGCACTCCAGCCTGAGTGACAGAGCAAGACTCCATCTCAAAAAGAAAAAAAACAAAAACAAATTCTCAAAAACCACTGATTAGAGTATATAAAAATAACCATCCAAAACCTGGGGGTTGTTTTGTTTAGCCAAGTACATGGCATTAAATAAAGATTTAAAGTAGTCATGGGCCAGGATACTTAGACTATAAAAGAATTTTATTCCTGTGTTCCAACATTTCTGAAATTTAATGCTTCTTACAACTGACATGTACATTTAATGTGACAATATTTCTTACTTCTTAAAAAAACCTTTATAAATCAATGGTTGTTCATAAAATTGAGGGCCTAAGTAGGAGTGCTTGTCTAAGCTGTATTCTCCCTAGAAAGCAGAGTCCAGGATAAGAGCTTGCAAGTAATTAATCTTGGGATGTGAACCCTAGGCACAGGGGTTGGGGAGTCTAGGAAGGGTAAAATAGAAAATCAGATAAAAACAGTTCAAAGGCCGGGCGCGGTGGCTCAAGCCTGTAATCCCAGCACTTTGGGAGGCCGAGGCGGGTGGATCACGAGGTCAAGAGATCGAGACCATCCTGGTCAACATGGTGAAACCCCGTCTCTACTAAAAATACAAAAAATTAGCTGGGCATGGTGGCGCGTGCCTGTAATCCCAGCTACTCAGGAGGCTGAGGCAGGAGAATTGCCTGAACCCAGGAGGCGGAGGTTGCAGTGAGCTGAGATCGCGCTATTGCACTCCAGCCTGGGTAACAAGAGCGAAACTCCGTCTCAAAAAAAAAAAAAAAAAAAAAATATGACTAGTGTAACTGAGGATTTTTAAAATTTCATCTACTTCTAATTAATTTAAACATGAAGCTAGTTGTTATTATACAGAACAATACAGCTCTAAGGAGTCCTACAGAATCTGAGTTATGAGGTGGGGCACAGAGATGTGCAATATAGTGGTCCTTCTGGAATTTTGTCTGTTTTGTTCACTCATGTGCCCCAAGTTCATGGAAGAATGCCTAGTACAGTGAGCCTTCCAAAAATACTGACTGAATGAATCAGTAGCACTTGGGTCCACAAAGATGCACATGGCTTCCTTGAAAAGGAAGACTATATTAGAACAAATTCCGTTCAGTTCACACAGTAAGCAACTGTTATATACAAGAAACAAGTAATAAGGGGGACTTGAGGACTGAGAGGGTTGAAATGTGGTTATGAAAGAGCCATGTTGGGCATGGTGACTCATGCCTGTAATCCCAAAACTTTGGGAGGCCGAGGTGGGAAGATCATGAGATCAGGAGTTTGAGACCAGCCTGGCCAACATAGTGAAACCCCATCTCTACTAAAAATACAAAAATTAGCCAGGTATGGTGGCGCATACCTATAATCCCAGCTACTCAGGAGGCTGAGGCAGGAGAATCACTTGAACCTGAGAGGTGGAGGTTACAGTGAGCCAAGATCATGCCACTGCACTCCAGCCTGAGTGGCAAGATTCTGTCTCAAAAAAAAAAAAAAAAAAAAAAGAGCCAAGATAAAGTCCCTGGAGATTCTAATCCAAAGGATATTTACTGAAAGTCAGTTAAAGTTATGTGTTCTTTTTTTTTTTTTTTTTTTTTTTTTCCCACCAGAGGCCCACTGAATTCCTAGGGGAAGGGTTATGTGTTCTGTAGTAATCTTGGTTCACAATCTACTTCTGGTGTCAATTACTAAGTAACAGTAAGTGAAGTAATTTAGTATAATTCTTTGTTTTGATTCTTGGTTACTGTTACCACAAACAACATGTAACTAAGTAAAGTTTCAGAAGAGAAGACCATATTTCTGTTGCTAATTCTCTAATAGAAACAAAATCTTCACTTTAAGAAGTATTTAAACACCAAATCCTCAACTGAGATCTTTAAAGGAGCCCCACTCTAATCTGGACCCTAGAACTTTCAGCCATACATAGAGATGGATCTATGTAACTATATATGTATGTATGTATGTATGTATCTACCTACCTACCTACTTACCTATCTGAACAGGATCTTGCTATGCTGGAGTCTAGGAGCTCATCATAGATCACTGCAACCTTGAACTCCTGGGCTCAAGGGATCTTCCTGCTTTAGCCTCCTGAGTAGGTGGGACTATAGGTACATGCACAGTGCTTGGCTAATTTTTAAATTTTCTGTTGAGATGGGAGTCCCACTTTGTCACTATCTATAAAATTTACGAAGGGCTAATCATATGCTTCAACATACTTTATGTACATCATCTCGTTATTATCCATTTTACAAGTACAGAAATTGAAGGGTTAAATAACTTGTCCCAAAGTATACAACTAAAAACTGCCTGTTTTGCGTAGTGTCTTTAAATCGAATACCAGGGCATATTACAATCTTTAGGAAGACCTAGAAATATGCTCAAGATAGGGTTATAGCCTTGATTTTCTTACCAACATTGTTTTCCCTGTTGGTTCTTACATATTTCCCAGTGTATATAATTCAATTATTCTAAACTTGAGAGTAAAAAGTTGGTCACTACAAACTTGATGAAGGTTATCTGCAAAATTATTATTATTTATTTCTTTTTTTGAGACAGAGTTTTGCTCTCATTGCCCAGGCTGAAGTGCAATGGCACAATCTCAGCTCAGCATGACCTCCACCTCCCAGGTTCAAGTGATTCTCCTGCCTCAGCCTCCAGAGTAGCTGGGATTACAGGCACTGTGCCACCATGCCCGGCTGATTTTATGTTTTTAGTAGAGACAGGGTTTCTTCATATTGATCAGGCTGCTCTCAAACTTCCAACCTCAGGTGACCTGCCCACATTGGCCTCCCAAAGTGCTGGGATTATAGGTGTGACCAACCATGCCCAGCATGCAAGATTATTTAAAATAGGAATAAGGCTGGACACAGTGGCTCATACCTGTAACCCCAGAACTTTTGGAGGCAGAGGCAGGCAGATCACCTGAGGTCAGGAGTTCGAGACCAGCCTGATCAACATGGTGAAACCCCATCTCTACTAAAAATATAAAACTTAGCCAGATGTGGTGGCAGGCACCTGTAGTCCCAGCTTCTTGGGAGTCTGAGGGGGGAGAATCACCTGAACCCAGGAGGTGGAGGTTGCAGTCAGCCAAGATCGCACCATTACACTCCAGTCTGGGTGATAGAGTGAGATTCTGTCTCAAAAATAAATAAATAAATAAATAAATAATAAAATAGGAATAAACAGTAACAGTAAACACAGAATTTGTACAACAAAAACAAACAGCAGGAGGTCAGGTGCGGTGGCTCACACCTGTAATCCCAGCACTTTGGGAAGCTGAGGCAGGTGGATCAGTTGAGGCTAGGAGTTCAAGAACAGCCTAGCCAACATGGTGAAACCCCATCTCTACTAAAAGTACAAAAATTAGCGGGGCATGTTGGTGGGCACCTGTAGTCCCAGCCACTCAGGAGGTTGAGACAGGACAATCACTTGCACCTGGGAGGCGGAGACTGCAGTGAGTGGAGTTCCCCCAGCCTGGGTGACGTAAGAGACTGTCTCAAAAACAAACAAAAAAACAAAAGAAAACCAGCAGGCAAGGGGTTCTGCTGTTTTAAAACACTTAATAGATTTAAAATGAGGATAGTTTATATCAGAGATTTTGGGCTTTGTCCCTCAAAGTTGGATAAAATGTGTTTGGTCACAATGTGAATTTATTTCTTCATTCTTACCTTACTCCAAGATTTTCAAAATGAGACTCATCAAGACAGGGCAGTAATGAGCCTGTGATTTTATTTTCTGTGGAAGAAAAAAGACAAATTCAGTATGTACTGTTAAAGATGAGCTGTGCTCTCAGAAAACTCCTCCATGCAGGCTGACCCCTTCCCCTCTTCTAATTGGTCTTCAGCTGCACTCCTGAACCCTTACCTAGGCGCCACACCAAGGCTGCCAGACATGTGGCAATTAAGCAAAGCCTGATTACAGCCATCTGGGCAGCTCGAGGGAGGACAGGGAAAACATATGTTGGTTGTCCTTACTCATAAAAATCCCGGTTTCTGTCTTTTTTTAATGACTGCCGCCACAAGTCACAGGGTGATGTATCGTCTCTTACAAGTTAACAAACTATCTCTGTGCCTGTTACCAGTGAATAGATTATGCCCCTCTCACCCTATATAAACCCCTGGTTTTGTAAGCTCAGGGGTACCTTCTCTGACTGTTACAGAGCAGCCCAGCAAGTTAATAAAACTTTCTTGCCTTACTTTGGGTCTATTCTCCTTTCTCTCGGCTACCTTTACATATACAACATATGTTTTTCCCTTTCTTTCAATTTGGATGCATCAAAATTTACCCAGATCCACATTTACTGAGCACCCACTACAGGCAACAGACTGTGCCAAGTACCATTTTATTGATCTGCTACTTGTAAAGACTCAATTTTAATTAAATAACTAAACCAAGAAGCATTTTTCTGATAAATCACGTGAAAAATTTCAAAATCATTCGTGTAAATTAGTTGCAAGAAAAACCAGTTGCAAAAAGTGAAGTGAAACCTGACTCCCTGTTGGGGTTTTGCCGTGTTAGCAGCTTCCTTTTAAACAAGAAAGGTTTGGGTCGGGGAAGGGAAAGAAACTTAAAAGTCTATTGTTTTTAGAATTAACAATTAAAACGATGGCTTCAAGAGTGCTTAAAGTGTTGATTTCTCTTAATCCTCCTGGGAAAGCACTCAATACTCTGATTTGAAAGAGTCTTATCTCGCTCTCTCTCTCCATATATATATATAGAGAGAGAGTTGTTTTTTTTCCCTCTTTTTATACAATTCATTCTAACATTTCCTGACCTCAGATTCCAAAACTCTGGACCACTTTATTTTATTGTATTTCTTTGAGACAGGGTCTTGCTTTTTGCCCAGGTTGGAGTACAATGGTGCGATCACAGCTCACTTACAGCCTTGACCTCCTGGGTTCAAGTGATCCTCCTGCCTCAGCCTCCCCAGTAGCTGGGACCACAGGTATATGCCACACCTAGCTGATTTTTTATTTTAATTTTTTTTTTTTTTGTAAATATGGAGTCTCCCAATGTTGCCCAGGCTAGTCTTGAACTCCTGGGCTCAAGTGATCTTCCCACACTGGCCTCCCAAAGTGCTGGGATTGTAGGCATCAGCCACTGGCATGACCTCCAATGGTTTTTGATGAGAACACTTGTTAAGGTATAGCCCACATGAGTTCTGGAGTCCAAAGACCTAACCTTTAAAAATCTAGCTCTTTTTTTGTAGTGGTATGATCTTTGAAAAGTTACTTTACATCTTTGGACCTCATATACATCATCTGTAAAACATACAGAGTAAAGCAACTTATTTCAGACTTCTTGTGAGGCTATTATATTCCACAATGAAAAAAGGGACATAGTACCTTGTTCTTGGCTTGTCAAATAAAAACAAATTTGGACTTAGATAAAGAGAGACTTTTTTTTTTTTTTTTGAGATGGAGTCTCACTCTATCGCCCAGGCTGGAGTACAGTGGCGCAGTTTCCGCTCAGTGCAACCTCTGCCTCCCAGGTTGAAGCAATTCTCCTGCCTCAGCCTTCTGAGTAGCTGGGATTACAGGCACGTGCCACCATGCCTGGCTAATTTTTGTATTTTCGGTAGAGACGAGGTTTCACCATGTTGGAGTTTCAGACCACAATGGCCAACATGGCAAAACGCTTTCTCTAATTAAAAAAAAAAAAAAAATCCAACAGATAAAGGGTCTTCTTTTATAGGGTAAAGGATGGGCAAGCAGAAATAAGCAGAATCTTTGGAAGGGAACCTGGATGAGCAAGGGAAAATGCCCAGTGTAGTCCAACAGGACAGCATCCCACTTTGGTCAGCCGATTCTCAAAAGAAATTGACTGGAGAGAGGCATATGCCACTTCTTCAGTGCCTGCCTGCTCAGATCTGGGGGTAAGCAAGAGTTGAGGGACCCATATGTCAAGAGAGAAGTCTAAATAAAGTTTGGTCAAGACAAAGCAGCAGGTAAGACATGAACAACTGGGAATAGTTGGTCAGTTTTTACCAAATGTAAGCACATAGTGCTTACATAGTGCTTAATAGCACTCGGTTGTGGTTTCAAGAGAACACACATCATTCTGGATAGTACAGAGTTCATCTATAAAACACCACTGAAACAGCCAACCACATTTTGAGACAGAAAATATGGAACTACTTCACTCCACTTGTTGCTAGTGAGAGGAAAAAAAAAAATCCATCCCAGCAGTGGAGAAAAACGAAGGGAAAAAAGGGGAAAATAAAAAAGAGAAATGCAATTTCCCACACCCATTCAAGGTATCTTTGGGTCCTGAACCACCAATGTTCCTCCTACCCCAGTTTCCAACCTAGGCAAACAGGGCTCCACCTAACAAATGCAAAAGTTTACTAAATTTATAAATCCCAACCACCAAAGAACCACCTTCCTATTGAACACCTAGTGGAAATACGGCAGGAATGAAGTCTCACACCCACCACAAAAAGTTGAGTAGACTTCACACGGATGGATGCTTGGACACGAATCAGTAAAATCCGCTTTAAACTCAACCTAAACACTTCTACCGGTAATGTGGCCAAATTGTTGCAGGCTAGAGATTCAGTGGTCAATGGAACAACCTCAGTGTTCAGACGGTGGACACGAACCTGCTTTTAAAGAGCAAAACATGATCCTTACCATGTTCTGCAAGTGCAGTCAACACACAACCTATCGGGCGCTACTGGGACGCTAAGGGAGGCGATGGGAATTCAGAGATTAACCAAACCAGTTCCTTCCGTTTGAGGAAAAGCCTCGATTCAGGGAGGAAACAGAAACTTAAAAGCCCCAGAACACCCTCTCATGTGGCAAGTGTTCAAGCAGCTGCGGTTAGCGCAGAGGGGTCCCCCGAGCCTGGCGAGCCTGGATGACAGCAAGCCGCCCACCAAGGTCTGGGGAAAAATATCTTCTAACTAAAAAAAAAAAAAAAAAAAAGACCCGAGTCACGCCTGTCCGGCGCCGGGCTGGCAAGTTACTGAATAAACCCACCAAAGTCAGATCCCAATCTACGACTGCCTCTCCCAGGTCCTCAATCCCGGGAGCCTGCTCCCATCCTATGATCGCCTACCCCAGACGCCCCCATGTCTCCTTCCTCCGCCTCGGGGAGTCGGTCCCGTTCGGTCCCGTGCGGCCCCGCCGCAGGTCCGCCCTCCTGGGAGCCCCCAGCTGCAGGGCTCGCTCCTCGGCCTGAGTCCTCTCATGGGGCCCCCTCCTTCAGGGCGCCTGGCCCCGCGCCCCAGGTCGCCGCCCCTCGTCCCTCAGCCCCTCCGGCGCCGCTACCTCGGATGTTCTTCATCAGCTCCGGCTCTTTGAAGCCACCGCGCCTGAGGAAGGAGCACACCTGCTCCGGGCCCCACGTCTTGTGGTCGGGATGGAGTTCCGGGCCCAAGGACCTGTCTGCCTCTGCAGAAGGGGTGTTTGGGGGGGTTCTCGGGCTGTCATCGCAACGGGGCCGCTTGGAGGGCTGCTCGGAGTCGGCTTGCTGCATGTCTACACCCGGCGTCCGGCACAGCAAAGTCAAGAACCGCGGCGCCCAGCCCGCGCGCAGGCGCACTGACAGCAGGGCCCTGGCGGGGAGTCCAGGGAGCATTGGCAACCAACTGGCCTCTCGCGCAGGCGCACTGAAAGCAGGGCCCTAGCGGGGCGTCCACGGAGCATTGGCTACCTACTGGCCTCCCGCGCAGGCGCACTGACTGTTGAGCCCTTCGGGCAGAGCAGCCCAGCGGCACTAGCCCCCGGCCCCCTGCGCAGGCGCAATGGCAGTCCAGTCGTCCTCAATCCCGCCGGGCCGCTGGACGTGAACGCGGAAGGGCGTGCCTAGAAGCAGAACTGAAGGCAACGCTGGTGGAGGGCGGGGAAACAGCACGTCCAGCACCGCCCCCCAATTAGGGGCTTGTCGGGTGAATTGGCGGTATCCTCCTTCGAATGAGTACACTACCCACCCCCGCACCTTAGCCGGGTTTCAGATGCCCCAAACTTAAAAGAAACCTAAAAGGCCATCAGGCTGGCAGCACCTTCCCAGTGAAGAAAAAAACAGTCAAGGTGCTGAACTGGAAGACCCCGGAATGATTTCACGTGTGACTTGAGGGGTCTTCATTCCACAGTATTGCTGGGCAACTAGAGGGCCCTGGGATACTTGTTGTCTGGTGTCCACACAGGAGAGGACTTCAGACTTCTTTCCAACTGGAGACAGATCCCTCCATCCCAACTGCATTCCCAGAAGAAGGGAAGTGGCCAGTCTCATTACTTAAAATTTAGTTTCCAAGGACTTTTACTGCCTGGTCCTAAGAGCAGGTGAAAATGGCAGGCATTTTCCCGTCACTTAGCCCCTCTGCGGCAGGGCTCAAACTGCCCTATAAATACTGATCCATGCAATTGACTGGTAAAAGGACCTATCACTATTACTGCTAATAAAGCCAACAACACACCTTCCCAGCAACCAAGCAATAGACCTGTTTAGCGGGTAAAGGACGAATGAGGCGGATTAGCTTATCATCAAGCAGTATGAACTAGTGATTTACTGGTGAGCCAAAATATTGTTAGCAAACAGAGCTTTACTGTGTGCCAGGCACGGTCCTAGGGCTTTACAAATACTAAATAAGTTTATATTTATACATATTACTTAATGAATTAAATTAAGTAATTATTTAAATAGTAAATAATTTTATAACTTCTAAGGGTTTTACAAATATTACTTCATTTAATTATCACAATTACCTTAGGATGTAGGAAAAAGTAATTTGCCTAAGGTCTTTTTTTGAGGCAGAGTCTTGCTCTGTCCCCTAGGCTGGAGTGCAGTGGCACAATCTTGGCTTACTGCAACCTCTGCCTCCCGGGTTCAAATATTCTCATGCCTCCGACTCCTGAGTAGCTGGGACTACAGTTGCATGCCACCAAATGTGGCTAATTTTTGCATTTTTAGTAGAGACAGGATTTCACCACGTTGGCCAGGCTGGTCTTGAACTCCTGACCTCAGGATATCCCCATGCCTCGGCCTCCCAAAGTGCGGGGATTACACAGCCAAGCCCAGCTGCCCAAGGTCTTACAGCTAGGAAATGATGAAGCCTGTATTCAAACCCAGGAGATGTAACCTGGCTCTAAAGTCCATGCTGTTGCTAACTTGCCAGCCATTGCTCATTAAAGGGGGTTTGGGGCTGGGTGCAGTAGCTCATGCCTGTAATCCCAGCACTTTGGGAGGCCAAGGCAGGTGGCTCACTTGAAGTTGGGAGTTTTAGACCAACTTGGCTGACATGGTAAAACTTTGTCTCTACCGAAATACAAAAATTAACTGGGTGTGGTGGCACATACCTGTAATCCCAGCTACTCAGGAGGCTGAGGCACGAGAATCGCTCAAATGTGGGAAGTAGAAGTTGCAGTGAGTCGAGAATCTTGCAGCTGCATTCCAGCCTGGGTGGCAGAGCAAGAGTCTGTCTCAAAAAAAATGAAGTGAAATAAATAAAAGGTGTTTGATATGAAACTATTTTCTATTGTTTAACCCACAATTTTCAATTGCTTCCTTTTCCTGCAGACCCATGGGGGAAAGTATAAAGAGGTGTTCTGGCCGGGTTCCGTGGCTCATGCCTATAATCCCAGCACTTTGGGAGGCCAAGGTGGGTGGATCATCTGAGGTCAGGAGTTCAAGACCAGCCTGGCTAACATGGTGAAACCCTGTCTCTACTAAAAACACAAAAATTAGCTGGGCGTGGTGGCACATGCCTGTAATCCCAGCTACTCGGGAGGCTGAGGCAGGAGAACAGCTTGAACCTGGGAAGTGGAGGTTGCAGTGAGTTGAGATCGTGTTTGTTCAAAGCAATTGCTTTTAAGAACTTTTTTTTTTTAGACAGAGTTTCGCTCTTGTTACCCAGGCTGGAGTGCAATGACGCGATCTTGGCTCATCGCAACCTCCGCCTCCTGGGTTCAGGCAATTCTCCTGCCTCAGCCTCCTAAGTAGTTGGGATTACAGGCACGTGCCACCACACCCAGCTAATTTTTGTATTTTCAGTAGAGACGGGGTTTCACCATGTTGACCAGGATGGTCTTGATCTCTTGACCTCGTGATCCACCCGCCTCGGCCTCCCAAAGTGCTGGGATTACAGGCTTGAGCCACCGCGCCTGGCCGAAGATGTTTTCATTCGATACAAACAATAACAGAGGCAACACACTGGCCACAAAATGAGAACATAAGTGCACTTGAATTTTTTGTGACTTCTGGCTAGGCTTTGACAAGACTATCAGTCTTTTCTTACCAGGTAAACAGAAATCATCTGCCAATACCAGAAACTTTAAAGCTCTTAATTCAGCTGGAAATAACTATAATTGAGGGTCTTTTTACTAGCTACTTGCTTCCCAATTTAGTATTGTCTAGTGGGTTAATTTCAACATAACAAAAGGTGTCATCTGGCTGGCCACATCATGCAATGGTGACAGGGGCAGGTTTAATGAGTTTTGTGCTCAGATGGCTGGGCCTCTTGGCTGCCCTTGTCCATCTCTGCACCTTGGTCCTGAGCGTTCTGAGACTCAGTCATCTGAGGATAAAAGGGATCTACTAGCCAGTTGAGGGGTGTGTTGTTAACAAAATAATCCATCACATCATCTAAAGATTTCTTCATTTTCTGTAGCTGCCCCTTGCTAGAAGTGAGGAGGCTGTCAGACACCTCCTTAAAGGAGGCAGCATTGCGGAGCACTGAGTAGACGTCACTGGCCATCACCCCTATGTGCTTGGCCTGATCTTGGATGTTCTGTGGTAAGCCTTGGGTGTTGGACAGGAGGGTGTGCCATGTGGTCTGGAGCTGCTGAGTCATGTTGTGGGCAATAGCAAGAGTAAATGACCCGATGTGCTCGGCACAGTGGGACTCATCAGCATCATCATATCCAATGCCCCTTCTCCACTCCAGCCATGAGAGGTAGAGTTTATACTGAGTGTGCTGAATTTTCTGATTGCCACTATGCACATTCTTCCTGGCAGATTCAATCAGGTGAACAGTACAATGGAGCTGAGAAATGGTCTCTTGGTTTTTTTGCTTAGCTTCTTTAACCCTGCTGAGAGCCTGCTCGTAGGTGCGGGAGCAAAGCTTGGTAGACAGGGATCTCAGTCTAACATAATAACTCGGCTTCTGAACCATATCAAATCCTTCAACTTTTTTTGCTTCTTTTTCTAGTTCTTCTTCAGTGAGAAGGAGGTACTGCTCTACCAACAGCTCTGATTTGGTGAGTGCATTTTCTACACCACTGCTCACAAGCTGCATAATCCAACTCCCTAAGACTGTGTTAATGCTGCCACTGACCACAGACTTGGTCATCTCCACACTGCCAGTCACTGCCCCTTTGGTCTTGTCCATCACACCTGTGACTGTGCTGGCCATGGAATCCTTGGCTCCAGTCACAGTAGTCGTCACAGCATCTTTTGGCTCAGTCACAGCACCTTTGGCATTGGCAACAACCTGAGTTGATGGCTGATTCAGAATAGGCAGTCTCTCCTCCATCCTGGCTAGCCCCTTACAGGCATGGGTATCAGCAATTGCAATTTGTGGCTCTAGCTTCTGGATGATGGGCAGAGCACCGGTCAGGGCCACAGAGGTGATGATCTTCACACCCTTCTCTGCCATCTCACACACAGACTTCAAGTAGGGATACTGGTCCTTTGTATTGACATAGGCTGAGGACATGAGGTCATATATGGAGCTCACCAAGGGCAGGTTGACCACCCGAGTTACCACACTGGGTTGTGGATCAACTGCAATGGATGCCATTTTTCTCTATGGAGAGAGAAATTGTCGGAGGGCAGTGAAGGGCAAAGAGCAGGCGTGTCCCAAAGGCAACTCCGGCAGCCACAACCTGGGCAAAACCTATTTATTTTTTTGAGGTGGAGTCTCACTCTGTCTCCCAGGCTGGAGTGCAGTGGTGCAATCTCAGCTCACTGTAACCTCTGCCTCCCGGGTTCAAGCAATTCTCCTGCTTCAGCCTCCCGAGTAGCTGAGATTACAGATGCATGCCACCATGCCCAGCTAATTTTTGTATTTTTAGTAGAGACAGGGTTTCACCATGTTGGCCAAGTTGGTCTCAAACTCCTGACCTCAGGTGATCCACCCACCTCAGCCTCCCAAAGTGCTGAGATTGCAGGTGTGACCCACCCATGCCTGGCCTAAGCCACCGCGCCCAGCCAGCGAGTCTTATTCCAACATAAATTTGCTTGAGATCCCCTACATTACAACAAAAGGGGAACTTGCCATTCTAAAACCATTAGAAGAGCTATGAAGAAGGAGTCACTATGGAAAGACCTTAGGTTTTGATGAGAATATTCAGCCATTTGATCAACCAACCAAAAAGTCCACCCTATCTTTGTACTTCTGAGGCAGGAAAATACAGTCTGAAGGCAGAAAACATAAGACCGATTCACACTTCATCTACAACAGGAAATATCCAACACCAAGTAAATGACTTTGTAAATTACTTCATCCTCTTCATTTACATAGGGCATACACCAAGTGACTAAAGGAAACCCCTAGAGGATATTTAACCCCCCCCCCACATTCCATAATGGGGCCCTTAATCCCCTATGTTCGGGCCACCCCCACAATGTGGCGTGTACTTTCATTTTCAGTAAATCTCTTCATTCCTTCCTCGCTTTGTGTGTTTTGTCCAATTCTTTGTTCAAGACACCAAGAGCCTGGACACCCTCCACCAGTCACACTTCCAACTACATGAGCCAGCAAAATTTCCTTCATTTCGAAGCCAGCATAAGTTGATTTTTCTCTTGTGTGTGTGTCTGTTGAATTTTTGGAGTTTTTTTCTCCTTTGTAACTGACAGCATCCCTGAAACACCTTGCAACTCCAACACCTGACACTCAGCTCCAGGCACCCAGTGCTGTCCGGCTGGTTTTCCCCTTGTAGTGACACTTGGATACAGTCCAGTTTACTGCAGTTCCTCATCGTCTTATGTTCTACTGTCTCTAGTGAACAGCACTGTCCATTAGCCAAGCTCACAAAGATCCTTTCCTCTCAGAAATTCCTCGTTGCTTCCTGAGGGCACCCACAGAATTATGGACTGAATTGTGGCCAACCTGTCCCCTGCATTCACATTTTGAAGCCCCAAACCTCAATGTCACTATACTTAGAGACAGGGCCTGTAAGGAGGTAATTCAGGTTAAATGAGACCAACAGGGTAGGACTCTGGTAGGAACAGTGTCCTTATAAGATGAATAGACACCAGAGATCTTTCTTTTCCTGCTCACTCACCAAAGAGAGGCTGTGTGAGGACATGGCAAGAAGGCAGCCTTGTGTAAACAAGGAAGAGAGACCTCACCAGGAACCAGCACTGCTGGCCCTTGATCTTGTAATTCCAGCTCCATCACTGTGAGAAAATACATTCCTCTTGTTTGAACTGGTATCAACCACAGGTTCTTTGACTCTTCTATAATAAAAATTGATGCAAGTTTCCCAGACAAGCCATTTATTAGGTGGTTATTTCCTTTTTCTTTTCTTTTCTTTTCTTTTCTTTTTTTTTTTTTTTTTTTTTTTGAGAAGGAGTTTTGCTCTTGTTGCCCAGGCTGGAGTGCAGTGGTGGGATCTTCACTCACTGCAACCTCCACCTCCCAGGTTCAAACAATTCTCCTGCCTCAGCCTCCTGAGTAGCTGGGATTACAGGCATGTGCCACCACACCTGGCTAATTTTTTGTATTTTTAGTAGAGATGGGGTTTCTCCATGTTGGTCAGTCTGATCTTGAACTCCTGACCTCAGGTGATCCTCTCACCTTGCCCTCCCAAAGTGCTGGGATTACAGACATGAGCCATTGCACCCTGCCTAGGGACTTATTTTGGAACACAGGGAAGACAGCACAAAACAGAAAATTATCTTACTGGCTCCCCAAAGAGAGTCAGGAGAGTAATATTTTTGTTGTTTTTTGAGAGAGAGACTTGCTCTGTTTCCCAGGCTGGAGTGCAGTGGCGACATCTCGGCTCACTGCAACCTCCGCCTCCTGGGTTCAAGCGATTCTCCTGCCTCAGCCTCCTGAGTAGCTGGGATTACAGGTGCATGCCATCATGCCCAGCTAATTTTTGTTATTTTTAGTAGAGACAGGTTTCACCATATTGGTCAGGCTGGTCACAACCTTCGGACGTTAAGTGATCTGTCCGCCTTGGCCTCCCAAAGTGCTGGGAATACAGGCATCAGCCACCATGCCCGACCTGGAGAGTAATTTTAAAGTGGCAAAAACAGGAAGGGACTGACATTTACACATGCAGAGGCAGGGAACTACTGGCACCTTTGCATTGGGTTACACGCTTCTTCCTGCATCACATGTCTCATTTGCATGTTAACTCTTCACCCCTGGGTGTGATTTTCCTATGATCATAAAGCTAGTATTAAGGATCGGTTATTCTCCCGGCCTGTGTGCATGCGGGTGGTGGGGGTAGTTTTCCTGAGCAAGATTTATGGCGGAATCCTTCTTATCTTGGTTTCTTCAGATAGCTTGCAGCAGCTGCAGGTTTTGACCACAGGTAAGGTGCCAGGGTGGTGGTGGTACAAGGTCTGGGAGTTAGCAGGTATGTCTAGAGGAATGCAGGAATTCATTAGTGGGGTGGCACAATAGGAGACACACTGAGGGCCATCCCTATCCCATCTCAAAACCATCCAATCTGTGATATTTTGTTATGGCGGTCCTAACAGATGAGTAATATGTATACTAACATGTGTGTACTATGTAATGTCCACTCCTGAGTTGATGGCCTAAAGTTGGATGTTTTGACTCGGTGGTTCCCAGACTTTGGGCCCCAGGCTTCTGAGGGGCTATAAAGCTGATTATTACCAGGATACCCTGTATCTTTTAGGATATGATGCAGGCTGGGCTCAGTAGCTCACGCCTGCAATCCCAGACCAAGGCAGGGGGATTGCTTGAGGAATTTGAGACCAGCCTGGCCGACATGGTGAAACACTGTCTCTACTCAAAATATAAAAATTAGCTGGGCATGGTCGCATATGTTTGTAATTCCAGCTGCTCAGAAGCTGAGGCATGAGAATTGCTTAAATCTGAGAGGCAGAGGTTGCAGTGACCCAAGATCTCACTACTGCATTCCAGCCTGGTGGCGGAATAAGACGCTGTCTTTTTTTTTTTTTGAGACGGAGTTTCGCTCCTGTTACCCAGGCTGGAGTGCAATGGCACGATCTCGGCTCACCGCAACCGCCGCCTCCTGGGTTCAAGCAATTCTCCTGCCTCAGCCTCCTGAGTAGCTGGGATTACAGGCACGTGCCACCATGCCCAGCTAATTTTTTGTATCTTTAGTAGAGACGGGGTTTCACCATGTTGACCAGGTTGGTCTCGATCTCTTGACCTTGTGATCCACCTGCCTTGGCCTCCTAAAGTGCTGGGATTACAGGCTTGAGCCACCGCGCCCGGCCCTTATTCACATTTTTTACGAGACCTCAGGTGACCCTCTCACCTTGCCCTCCCAAAGTGCTGGGATTACAGACATGAGCCATTGCACCCTGCCTAGGGACTTATTTTGGAACACAGGGAAGACAGCACAAAACAGAAAATTATCTTACTGGCTTCCCAAAGAGAGTCAGGAGAGTAATATTTTTGTTGTTTTTTTGAGAGAGAGACTTGCTCTGTTTCCCAGGCTGGAGTGCAGTGGCGACATCTCAGCTCACTGCAACCTCCGCCTCCTGGGTTCAAGCGATTCTCCTGCCTCAGCCTCCTGAGTAGCTGGGATTACAGGTGCATGCCATCATGCCCAGCTAATTTTTGTTATTTTTAGTAGAGACAGGTTTCACCATATTGGTCAGGCTGGTCACAAACTTCGGACGTTAAGTGATCTGTCCACCTTGGCCTCCCAAAGTGCTGGGAATACAGGCATCAGCCACCATGCCCGACCTGGAGAGTAATTTTAAAGTGGCAAAAACAGGAAGGGACTGACATTTACACATGCAGAGGCAGGGAACTACTGGCACCTTTGCATTGGGTTACACGCTTCTTCCTGCATCACATGTCTCATTTGCATGTTAACTCTTCACCCCTGGGTGTGATTTTCCTATGATCATAAAGCTAGTATTAAGGATCGGTTATTCTCCCGGCCTGTGTGCATGCGGGTGGTGGGGGTAGTTTTCCTGAGCAAGATTTATGGCGGAATCCTTCTTATCTTGGTTTCTTCAGATAGCTTGCAGCAGCTGCAGGTTTTGACCACAGGTAAGGTGCCAGGGTGGTGGTGGTACAAGGTCTGGGAGTTAGCAGGTATGTCTAGAGGAATGCAGGAATTCATTAGTGGGGTGGCACAATAGGAGACACACTGAGGGCCATCCCTATCCCATCTCAAAACCATCCAATCTGTGATATTTTGTTATGGCGGTCCTAACAGATGAGTAATATGTATACTAACATGTGTGTACTATGTAATGTCCACTCCTGAGTTGATGGCCTAAAGTTGGATGTTTTGACTTGGTGGTTCCCAGACTTTGGGCCCCAGGCTTCTGAGGGGCTATAAAGCTGATTATTACCAGGATACCCTGCATCTTTTAGGATATGATGCAGGCTGGGCTCAGTAGCTCACGCCTGCAATCCCAGACCAAGGCAGGGGGATTGCTTGAGGAATTTGAGACCAGCCTGGCCGACATGGTGAAACACTGTCTCTACTCAAAATATAAAAATTAGCTGGGCATGGTCGCATATGTTTGTAATTCCAGCTACTCAGAAGCTGAGGCATGAGAATTGCTTAAATCTGAGAGGCAGAGGTTGCAGTGACCCAAGATCTCACTACT